ATCAAGAAATTTACAAACCAGAAAGGTTTGTGCTATAGCAAATTAAAAAGAAAACCAACTCCATGCACGCTCAAGCTTTCCTCGTTTTTTTCTCTGTATAATTGTTTTCATTCGATGAAAAATGACTCACGGCTGAAAATATACCGTTTCTAATTCTACCCCACGCCTAACCAGCGATTCATATTTAAAAAAAATATTTTGTACTTTTTACATCAGCCGCATAATTGCAAGTTGGAGACCATTGTCGTATTTTAATTCCACTCCCCGCGATGACAGCCATAATCGATTTTAAAAAAATTGTCATCATATTAGAGCGCAATTTCTAACGGAGGGGGTTTAAACTTGGTCTCTCTGCTACACCTGTTGACTGCTGTATTATTCCTCAAAATTATAAACACAATTTGCCGGGGTAGTGCAGTAAACGATTTAACATTATCATAATCGATACCTTCATTTTTATTAAATGCCTGAAAACTCCATATTTTTTTTTTAAACGTCTGCTGGTTACAAAATAGGAATCTATGGATTGGGCGACTAACTTAGGATTGCGTGAAAAAGGACTGCGTGAAAAAGGTCTGCGTGAAAAAAGAACCGCGTGAAAAAGGTCTGCGTGAAAAAGGACTGCGTGAAAAAGGTCTGCGTGAAAAAGGACAGCGTGAAAAAGGACTGCGTGAAAAAGGACTGCGTGAAAAAAAGAACCGCGTGAAAAAGGACTGCGTGAAAAAGGTCTGCGCGAAAAAAGGTCTGCGTGAAAAGGACTGCGTGAAAAAGGACAGCGTGAAAAACATTGTGGTTGATATGGTTTGAGCTCTTGGTCGGTTGAATTCCTTTTTTGTTATTTGTGAAAATCTGGTATTTTGTTTGATTACAAAACTCAACTATAGCGTTCGTTTCGTTGGAGCCCTAAGTTATCGCTAATCTCTAGAAGTTTGTCTTTTTTGTGGTCGTTTTACATCTGTCTAGGCCTTAAACCAGTGACAATTACAAATGAACTGCGGCAGAAATCGTCCCAGACAATAGATTTTTTTGTGGCTAAAACGACAGGGCATGTGCAACCAATAAGTGGCGGTTTAATTTTTGGAAAAAAACCCACAAAGGTCGTTAAATGTCATTAACTATACGCAGCACTAGCAGCTGTACATTTTAACCATCCTATCTGCTCATGTTACTGAAATAGCATTATGTATTTTTGGTGATCTATGTTGTCACGCACTATGCACATTTTCTATGTGTCAGTTTTTGGGACTAAGTGACGTTTTCAGCGGCAGTGAACCGTTAAGTGTGTATGTTCACCCCTTTTGTGCTCAAATGTGTGAAGAGTGCCCGCTTGGTCGGCAGTGGTGGTGATGGGGGTGGGTGGGTAGGCACGCAGGCAGTTGCACTTTTCTGGAACAAAGTTGACATTTTTTTCGTTAAAGTGCTATTAACTGAAAGTATACAAACTTCCCTTTGCATAAACCATGTTAAAATAGGCCTGAGACCTAATGACGTCACGCTTTGTTTACATGTGCGCTTTCCTATGTGGTAGACGGTCCCTACTTCGTCTGGCATCCCGACTTCGCTCCCATAGGAAAGCGCATATGTAAACAAAGCCATTACGTAATTAGGTCTTAGATCTATTGGATGTTTTGTCACGTGATGCCGATATGCAGCACACTGTTATATTCTGCATTGCATAAATAATCTCTTGAAATTGTTGCTTAAAAATGTTGACATGTGCTTTTTAAACAAGAGCAAAATAACACGAGAAAGATAGTAATGTGTCTTTGGCCTGCGAGTTGCTGGTAGGCATGACGTCACATTCGCAGGTGACGTTGCCCGAAGCTACATGGTTGGAAAGTACATTCACCTAAACAACACTTCTTAAACCGAAGCGCCCCAAATGTTAGGTCATTACATGGTTGGAAAATTAAGAATAGATTAGCAAGTGAATACCACATTGTCAGCTGATACAATAGCTACATGCACAGGCGAGGAGATCTGATTATGGAGGAGTCAGCGACAGTAATATTGTAGTTTTTAGGTACAGCTGCTATTTTGTTGTGTTCTCGTAGCTTACGATACAGTGAGCGCAGTCAAGCGTGTACAATGCCAATAATGATGTAGTAATGAACTTAACGTATTGGGCAGACCTATACAAACGGTAGGGTTGTATTTTAGTGAGGTACTTGCATCCCGCATGGTGGGGCAGATAGGGAAATGGTTTGGGGAATTGTGCCTTTGATGATACAAGCATGGCATTTGGCACACAGTCAGAGTATGTCATGAGAAAGATATTTGGCTATAGGGCCATCGCAGATTTGTCCTTTGAAAAAAAGATACAGGTGAAATAACAAGCCATTTTCAAAATATGCAAAATGGCTGCCATTGCTTGTTATTCTACCTATATTTTTTTTCAAAGGACAAATCTGCGATGGCCCTTTAGCCAAATATCTTTCTCATGACATACTCTGACTGTGTGCCAAATGCCATGCTTGTATCATCAAAGGCACAACCCCATCACCTATCTGTCGTAAGAAGTTCCTTAAAATAAATATTTTTTAACAATCACAATAGGCAAAGAAACTTAGGTCATTCTCCGTCACACCCTCCTTTCGATCTGTTCAATTGCATGTTGTTCTTGTCATTCTTGTTCTTTTTTTGAAATAATTTTGTTGGTTCTGTGATTGCTGAATAATATGCTGTTCTTTGCTGAGCAGAACTGTTACCATGGTTGCCAGCTTTAATACTACGCATGCGCATTAAGTAAAAAAAAAGCATGTGAGATACTGAGGTATTAGGCGCAAATGTGTCTTCAAAGAAATTGTGGTTTTTCTTTTTCGACTTCTGTATAATTTAGTAAATTTTTACGGTATCTGATTTCAAACCGCCGTGCTATTATTGGCACCAAAATGTACTTTTTAAGACCTCTACTACAATATTGAAACATTAATAGATAGCATTGATGAGGTCAAACAACATTTTTATTTGCCCAGTGGCGAGATGCGCCTAGCCGACCAATTAATTACGGGGACAATTAACGCGCTAATGACGCCGAAAGTGCAGCCAAATTGAATTCAGCGTCTTTAAAAATGCATGCCGCGGATGTCGTTACACGGAGCGAAGCGTAGCGTGCGGGGAGGCGGGCCAGCGCCGCGCTACAACGGTTGAGCCCCGTCGCGTCGCGCGCTAATGACCCAGTCCAAGCCGTACTATAAACGACAGAGCGATTAGAAACGAACGGTTCAACAAAACAGTCCCGACGAATAGATTAATTATACATTTTTAATGACAACGGGGAGAGACGGACAGTGGCTTTTCACTGAGGCACAAAAGATTCCCGTCTCGTTTTGTTGGTATATTGATAATTTATCGGATCGTAAATTGAGGATTTTTTTTTTAGCTTTGGAAATGATGGAATAGTTGGGGTACATTTACTGAAAACCTATTGAATTATAATAATATATAGAATCCTCTATGAACAAGCGGAGCTGTCAGTGCACACCATTTGCAAGACAAAATAGATGGATCTTATATTTTGTACTGAAAGGCGAATTAGGACACAGGTTCAGACAGCAACCGTACGTGTTGCCTTGAAACGAGTGTGATAAATTCTTGGTTATAACTAGATCGTCTCGAATATGCATGGAAGGAAACGAACAAGAATTGACAGCCACAAACCTGTTGTACACTCTTGTGAGGAATAGGCCTTTGAGGAATATGAACCTGTTTTAGAATTAATGCAACTTCCATGAATGCCCAAACTTTGACATGAATGGAAAATGGTGTATTCTTTATGGTACTGATTGAATCTTTTTATATAAGAGCCAATGAAATTAAAGCTCGGCAACCAGAAGTAAGCGATACAAGAGACAAAAGAAGACGTTCATTTTTCAATTTTATAGATCGGAGCAAAACCTACTTATATTCTGGTGAAACAAAAGCCGATTCAGAATCGTTAATTCATACAGAAATAGGCTGAATAAAATAAGGTCTACATGTCTATTTTGACAATTGGCGCACCTAATAAACGTGCGTATCATTACTGATATATTTTCACGATAGAGATCTACCATACGATTGTCTTTCCATTTCGCGAATCAAGTTGAATCATACACTGCCTCAATCAGAAATTGCACGCTTTGTGTTTAAGCTTATTGGACAGCTGGCGGATATGCTTCCGAATTAACATCATCAGCACCATTTGTTGTTTTTGGTTTTCGGTTCCGTGATGGAGTTAATCAGTTCGGTGGTGGAGTGATTTTCAGCGCGCTGAGCCGCTGACGTTCCACCGGTAATCGCGTCATATTACCCGGGCGGAAAGCTCGCCCGCCCTTCGCCAACCAAGCGTGCACTCCACGCAATGTAGTAGGCCTACCTGCAAGAACCGCTCCTTTTGATGTTGATTTTTTTTTAATGCATACTTAAACGAGGCCAGGAGAAAATCTGAGCTTGACGCCGAGCGATTTCGCGACCTTCTTTATTTTTAGTCCCCCTAATTGGTCATAAAAATTATACCTTATGAGGCCTCGTTACTATACAGGATTGTGGTTTGGAGGATAATTTATCAGGACCTGCACGAATAAAAAGCTTCCAGACCTGAACTAAATTTGAGATAAAAAAATGCCACGAGGTGCAACTTTCCCTTCAATACTTAGGCCAAACCTAAAATTTTACAACACTTCAGAAACACCTGTAATAAAATAAATCGAGTGTTACCTCTATTATAGTTAAGTGGTTCGGTAACATAACACGGTGTCGAATAAACACCGTTGTTTTCTCAGTGTAAAAAGTAATGAATTCCTAATTTGGCTGCCTACGGAATCTCGAAGTCTTTAATTTTACGACATTCCTATTGTTCGTATAATTCACCTCATATTTTCACATGCTCTACTTCTATGTTTTAAAGCCATTGTAATTGTATTTCGTTGGGCCCTTGTGTAGAATTAGGCCTAAATAACTATAAGAAATTGGATAAACTTCAGACTAAAAAGTTACACTTCTCTCTTTTTACTATTTAGGTATCCAGTATGGCAGCCTACAGTCTCAGTAACCGCAACTGGAGCCTATAACTTCCCCGCTCCGGGCAGTGGGGCTCCTGGTTTAACCCTCCCAGTACCCTCCCGGTCCCTGTTCCCCTTCCCCGGCCCCTCCCCCATACCCCTACCCCACTTACACCCAGCTGTGGTACCCCAGTGTCTCAAGGTGCCTATTCCTGTACACCAGCTCCATCACCCGTTTCATCCTCACCACCCTTACTCTCAGCTTCACACCGAGCGTGACCTGGCTACCACGACCCCCACCACCACCACCACTTTGACCCTGAGCGCGAAAGACCGAGCACCGACGGCCATTTTCACCGCGTCGACCGCGCCAGGCCTACCGCACAACGCGCTGCCACTCCCGCCCGAGATACGCCGCCCGCTGCCCTTGGTCTACAACTTCACCGCGGCCGATTTGGACAGCGTGTTGTACGGCTACGTCGGGCCCTCAAAGGAACCGCCGTGCGGACTGAGGTGCGCTCTATCCGGCCTGCGAATTCACGAAATAGGTAAGAACCTTAATCCAGCAAAATCCTGCAAAATCTAGCTAACAAATCCTAGGCCTACAACATCAAAGGGTTGGGAATTTCTGTTGAATGTTTGGTTGGCATTGTACTTAACGACTTGTTGTTTTGTTTAGTGTTAATTTCCAATCGATTTGAGCCGTGCTGTTGTTAGATTGTATCGGACCCGGGATCCACACGCCTGCTTTTGTTGGATTCTGTTAAACTCCCAGAATTTTTTTTGCAGCACCCAATAAAGGGAAGGGACCTCAATCCAGCAACTTCCTAGACTATCTCACAGTGGGTTATTCTGTTGGATAGAGTTTTGTTACCATATTGTACAAACGATTCCAAGAGAACCAAGCCTTTCTGTTTCTTAGATTCTGTTGGATGAACCGTGAACCAGCGTTCTAGTTTTCAACTTCGGTTCCCTTTACCCGCTATGGCCCAGCTGCAGTCTAGCCGTTTACACGGCTGACCCCGTTTTCAAGTCACGCTTGGACGGGGCCGGGCGTGTCGCCGAACGGCGGGCCGTCAGCGGTCGGGAGACGGTCCAGGCACGGGCCGGGAACGCCTCGGACGCGGTTGGCATTACGCCGTCACGGATGGCCAACCAGTAACACAAAATTATACCGAGCTGTCCTTTCGTGTGGCTTTCTAACTATTATCATTTTTTAAAACTGTTGTCTGACTACTTTTTGCTTGTAATCAATCAAACAATACTAGAGACTTAATTGAGAAGATTATAGACACAAAGCGACTGGGCGGATGTACGGAGAGGCGTGTTGGACAAAATTATTCCATATTGCCCAGTAGTCGATAAAAATAATCTTTAAATGTCAAACTTAAGCGGTCGTAAGATCGCTTTTAGTGTGACGTGAGTAGACGGTATATAACCACACACAAGACCACCTATCCAACGCAACAACAATCTTCTAAGATCGTGACCTAAAGAAAAATTCGTGACAATTTCATAATTAATAATGTGTCCCTATGTTTTTTCAATTTTTTTTCTTCTGGTCGAAGAGGGCTAGCCTAGTGCCCTCTTTGGGCTTACCTCACCGACTGACTGACTGAGTTAGCCTGACTTAACGTTTCAAGCGTTTTTTGCCCAAATTGGCATAGGACCCGCTAACGTTAGACGGTCTTGGCCGCCATGGTGCCAAACTTTATCTTTCTGTGTAAAGTTTGCATAATTGCCGCGCCTTTCAAAAACAAAAAAATAACGAACTCGGGAAGGTCTCAAAAACAAGACTTGTAGACGAACTTCCACACACACAAAGAAAATACCGACAAGCATAGCCCGACTCTTAACCTAACAAACCTATGAAAAGATCGTGTCATCAGTCAATTTCCCCTGCCGAAAAGGCCCCAACAAAGACAGAAAACCAAAATCACAGCATTAGCGGCGGGTTGTTTAATGATAAAAAAGTAGGGTCCGATTTGAAAAAAAAGGTGGTCTTCCTTTGTGGGACGGTATTAAGGGACTGTCAAAGCGGAACAGGGACGATAGAGCCCCGGGGCTGAGACCCACTAGACCACCAGGACCGACACGCTGTTTGTAGAAAGAACCCCGGAATAAGTTGAAGGGATTACACCGTTGTTCTTTTGGAAGGAAGATCGGGGTTTAGCAAGAAGATGCGCTCTCCAAGGAACTCCTTATTTTTCTCTCCTAGTTAGGACTATGCGCGCACGCTATCTTAGGGATTTTTTGCTTTTGGCGTTGTAACCTAAGTTTCACTTAAACTGATCGATTTGTCATTCTTAGCACGGACTTTGCAAGAATGGCTCTGCACTTGTGCGGGTTCCCCCCTTCCATTTACTTCCCTTTCTGGGTAGATTAGCTCTTTAGTTGTCGTTAAACGGCACCCAAGTGTCAACCTGGACGTAATAAATGACCATGTTTGTCTGTTCTTAGCTGTCCTGTTTTGCAAAGATCTTTTCGCGGCCTTAAAGAGGCGAGGATTGTCTTGTTCCCTTAATGAGATTTTTGCGGACGACAAAGAAATGAATTTTGACGAAGGTCTCCCTAACTATGCACTCTACAAACTCCTGCGTCAGATTGACATCTAAAAAGCTAAATTTGCTCAGTCTTTTCCGGGTCAGAATTTACATGTGTTCTGGGTCAAATGACATTTTTCTAGGCAATTTTGACCCACAAAAATGTCAGTTTTGACTCGGAAAGGGCTGAGCAAATTTGGATAAAGATTTCGGGTCAATATCTAACCAGAAGTTTTCCGAGTGTGGGATGTGTGTTCTTTCACTCAAATGAATAAAATACGTCATCGTAGAGTTAATATAGTTCAAAGGAAGATGACATTAAATAATAATTTTTAAGAAATTATAACTGAAGAAAATGGACTTATTACGGAGCACCGGATATGCCAAACAAATTGACAATCTCTAGGTATTTTTTCTTGAAAAGACGGTTGATTGTGAGATGTTGACATCCTTAAAAACTGTGTTCATAAATACGTAAATAAATAATCAAACAATCAAACAAGCAATCAATCAAAGATGGTGTCTTTCTAGAAATTGGAATTTTCTTTTTTATAACATTTTGTTTATAAATGCAATCGACTGGTTTTGATTACATGTTTGTTTCACAGTTGTTGAAAAAAAATTGTTCTTAGCTAGATTGTTGCAATAATCGACTTTTTTGTCGGTGTACCAGTGAATTTTACGGAAAGACTAATTCCTGTTTTACCTCGACCTTCAGTGAGAGGTCATGCATGACTACAACCGCCAAACGCTGCTAATCAACGGTCTTTAATATTTGGACAGTGGGGTCATTAAAAGGGCCTTCTCCTCAACCAAAATACAGAACTTAATTTGCCAAGAGAACGATGATGAATCGGAGAATAAATCAAATTAATATGGCTCTATAATGAACAAAATTAGGTGCGTCCAAGAAAAACAGATGCCTATTTTGTCGCGTTTTGAATGAGACAGAAATGTGAGTTGATTGGGGAAGCGACAAATGGCGCGTTACTAACGTGTGCAAAGCGAGTGTTTTTTACGCGACTGTACGGTAGAGAATGGTCGATTGATAGGAGTGTAATAACTAGGAAGTGCATGTTGAAAAAAAGACTAACAACCAATCTTTTGGCTCAAGGTTTTTCTGGTTGGTTTAACTACGCGATCCATCAAAGCACCGGTCGCCTCGGCGACTGCTCCACGGGCTCAGCGCGCCGCGTCCCCCCACGCGCAACTGCTCATTTCACCGCTCGTCATCTATTCTCCCTGAGAGAGGTGCCTAATTGCTTGGACAAGCACCACAGAGGCTGAACAACAATAAACCCTTTAGCCTCGTCATGATGGGGTTAGGTGGGTGCACAATGGTTGAAGGGGTGTGCAGTTAATGACAAACAAACCCCCTAGGCGAACGGTGGGGGTTCAAAAGGGGGTGGGACATTAATAAGACGAAAACACCATCCACCCTTTTCTCTTTAAGCAGGGGAACAGAACCCAGTGAAAAGGGGAACAGTACCCTATTGATGCAGTCACTTAGAGGACGTTATCTTCTGAGCAAACATCTTTAAGTGCGGGATTCAACTTCTTATCCGTTCACAACTAGGAGGATGTTTGGGCGATTTGTGAGCCTTTCTTTTGCGGGTGTTCTGCAGAGCGAAGGGTTTTTGTTATGTAGACACGGGAGCCGTTTTGCTGACGGTTCGGTGTGAAATGGCAGAGTGTTGACAAGAGATGCCCTGTTTTTCTTCCAAGAAATGTTTTAAACCAAGGAACTTTCGTCAAGTACCTCAGGCAATCATTGTTTTTGTCCATACCTTTTTCCCTTTTTCCCTTTTTCCCTTTGACTAAACGGGTAGAGACTCATTTCATGTGTACAGTTAAAATATAAAAACAAAATGAAGCCAGCTTTCTAAATAATTGGCTTTTCACTTGTTTTCAGATAGAGGAAGCAGAACACCGTTTTGCTCTCTGGCGCCCTCTTGCGACGAGGAGGCAAAAAGTAACGAAGGAGAAACTTCCCCCGAGAGGGCGCGCTCTGCCGCAGACCGTGAAAAACCTCCCAGCCGTTCGGCGCTCGACATAAGGACAGTTAATCTGCCTGAAGGTAAGAAGAAAAGGAATAAAAAACATTGATCAAGATTTCGATTTGTTTTGCTTCGTTTTGGTTTATTGATTTGTTTATTTTTCATAAGATGGAATTTGCGTCGGGCTGATGTTTCAATATTAGGTTTTGACCTTCACGGACGCATAACACTATACTCAGTGTGTTACCTCCCGAGTGCAAGTTGGAAAAAAATCACTCGGGTGGGACTCGAACCCACGACCTCCTGCTTTCTAGTGCAGACGTCTTACCATTCGACCACTGAGCTTGCGGGATCGGTTGGCTGGTTCGAAAATTGTTTATTTTTGTTTTGGCTATAAGCGACACCGGCAGCAATCAATGGAAAAGGAAAATATACTTTTATAGTCGGTAGGGTATATTCCAACAAGTAATCATTTTATTGAAATGAAATTGTTCATAACGAATAAAAAGATGACGTGCCTGTGAACTGACAAAATCTTCACCTCCATTTTTCTTTTCAGGTATATCGATCACCCAGACGACAGTAGGCGGGTCCCCTCATTACAGCGTGTTCTGCCACACCCACGTGATCGCCAAGGGGGCGCGCTTCGGCCCCTTCACGGGGAGGATTATCCACCCGAGTGAGATCAAGAGTAATGATGACACCAACTTCATGTGGGAGGTGAGTAAGATCATGTCTCGCCCCGCCCATATTCATCAGCCCCGCCCATATCTACAAGTCCCGCCCATATCAACAAGCCCCGCCCATCATCCATAAACCCCACCCATATCCATAGGCTCCGCCATATCAACAAGCCCCGCCCACCTTTGGTCTGTGTTCATTTCTAGCAATGTTCGTGACCGGTTGAGCTACTGTTGTCACCTGGCCAAAATGTGGTGATTTGATTGGTCAATGTGCACCATTTCTAGCTGCTTTGCACAAAATCCAGATAGATTTAGTGAGATCAGATCGGTTAGGATCAGCCAAATTTAGAAACGATTTGAGCACATAAAAAGAGCTTTCGCCAAAACAGGTTCTCCAAATTCAAGTCGATGGAGGGCGTTGTTTCTGTAGTATGGAAATAATCAAGTTGAAGCGTTCAAAGTTTAACATTATCAATGCTTTTTTTGAGCAAAGGTTACGCAACTTACTGAAGGAAAAATGCATTTCAATATTTTGTTTCAAAATGTGTGGTTTTTATTACAGCGACCCCATTAGTTAAACTTAATATCTTATCACAAGACTCTAAATAAACACCATTTTTGAATATCTTTGATGTCGCTCATGACGAGTTCGGGCACGAAAACATTCTGAACACTGACAGCTCTCAGCTGTCAGTTAACGCTGGAGGGCGCTAAATAGCACGGACCATCTTCCAAGTCTCGTCGAAACCCTTGAACTGACAAGTGCTGTACATAAACGCCTCGATCTCATTTCTCGCGCCTTCGAGCGAATACAACCTGCGTGTCATAAACACACACGCGCGCTGTAGAGTGGAAACCTATAATTACGATCTACCATTGATGAAACACACACCGAAACTAGGGATGATGGGTCGTACAAGTATCTTACGAGTCTCATCCATCTTACGGGGCAGGCTAGTCAAGCGTGGGGATACCAATCCATCGACGGGCACCGTGTCCCATCGGACCCCGAGAAGACAAAAAAGCAAGCAGTCATGAAAAATTCAGAGGGAAATACAATCCTGTAATCAGTCAAGGGCGAAGCGATGAATTGAGGCGCTCGTCCGCTACGGTGGCATGGCTGAAGTTTCACTTGCAAGTAAAAATCCACGAGGACTAGGCTTAGGTTTTGACACACAGCGCACAAATTGCAAGGGATTGCGATCGCTTTACGGGAGACCGGCGATCGGGGAAGATCAGGATCATTTCCGTACCGTAATTGAAGGGAGGCGAGTTGGCTGTTTTCCCCAAGGGAATCTACCTAAGAATCCGCGGTCAGTGCATTTGGTGCGATTGCAGACTTGGGGATGAGATACCTGCTCTCAGTAAAACGTGATGCAGTTTGACAAGCGTTTTGCATTGAAATAAGACTTAAGAAGGGTGGATGGCTGTCTTCTGGGGAGTTGAGCAAGGGTTTTTGCAAAGGGGGCGAAGGAGGGGATGAGTGTGTTATATTTCGTCATTTAGGTACTCGGAATTCTCAGAGTACTTGACTTTCGACAATTTTTGAAACCCTTGTGATAATTAAATAAAATTTTCTTTGGAGTGTTTGGTCACAAAGTCATGCGTGCAAATAAGAAATGAATCTTTTTTTTTAATGAAACAAAATCAAGAAATTAAATTGTAATATTTGTCTTAAACATAAACATCAAATGAATAGACCAGTAGTTCAAATTTTACTTGACAGGCCGCGTGCCTCATCCAAAACCACCAAAAAAAAAAAAAAAAACCAACGCCACAAACCCTTAAAAAACCCTTTTGAGCCTCTTAATGAGAACGGCGGTTAAAAATCTTGTCTCATCTTTGCATGTTGATACCAACCGTCTATGCATCCTCTCTAGAAAAAAAAAACAGACACATTTTTCTCCAGATCTTAATTTGTATAACAGTCATACATCACCAAATGATGCCGATCGACATTCTAACGAAAAAAAAACCGAGTAGACAATTTCATCTTCAAAGGACAGCCCTATAGCTTGTGCCTATCTCCCTTCGTCCAACATACTGACTTAATTAACTCGAGTAATTTAGACCCCTAATAGTGTATGGTACCTCAAGCGATCAGTCGTTAGAGAAGCAAATAGTCTCCTCTCAAGACTAAACATTGATGAATCACCGACTTGAGACCTTGGGAGGGACGCTTGAGGGTGTAATCTACATATATTAGGCTCCGGGGATCCTCAGTCATATGTCATTTAATCGCAAAATGCAATTTATTACAGCTTAATCATATTACTGGAACCATAACGATAGTAACGACTCAGTGTAGCAACTTGGGGTTTCACTTCAGCGATTATAAACTCACGTCCCATACGCCACTGTCAAAAAATGATAAAGGTTGGGCAATAAAGACATTCTCGCAAGATCATAATGATCTTACGAATAGTAATTCAACGGAATTGTTTAACTAAAAAGGGAAACCCAGCTTTTCCTTATTATATAAAAAAGCTACAACCTACTGTAGATCTCTGTCTTGTGATGCGCCCCTCTTTTTAATTATTTAAATCTCGTCGATTTTTAAAACTTTTGTTCAGATTTTTCACGAGGGGAAACTCAGCCATTTTGTGGACGGCCGCAACGGGGCCAGCAATTGGCTGTGCTTCGTGAACTGCGCCCGCCACGCCAAGGAACAGAACCTCGTCGCCACGCAGAGCGGAGACTTCATCTATTACGAGGCCTGCAAGGACATACCCAGGGTAAGGTACCCGACTAGTCTGGTCTCAGACTCGTCTGATTTGTCTAAACATCGGAAGTTACAGCCAGATTGTAATAAAATGATAGCAAATTAATATGCACTGCAGAGTCGTCATCAAGTCCTCACAAGCCTTCACATGTCCCCCATAACTCTTCACAAGCCCTCAAAAGTCTTCATAAATCCTAACAAGTCCGCACTAGTCCTCACTAGTCCTCACAGTCATCACAAGTCCCCACAAGTCTTCACAAATCCTAATAAGTCTTCACAAGTCCTCACAGTCTTCACAAGTCCCCACAAGTCTTTACAAATCCTAATAAATCTTCACAAGTACCACAAGTCTTCACATGTCCCCATAACTCTTCACAAGTCCTCACAAGTCTTCACAAATCCTAACAAGTCCTCACAAATCCTAACAAGTCTTCACAAATCCTAACAAGTCCCCACAAGTCTTCACAAGTCCCCACAAGTCTTCAAAAATCCCCACAAGTCTTCACAAATCCTAACAAGTCCTCACAAATCCTGACAAGTCTTCACAAATCCTAACAAGTCCCCACAAGTCTTCACAAGTCCCCACAAGTCTTCAAAAATCCCCACAAGTCCTCACAGTGCATCACATCAAACTCACCAGGAAAATGTCCCCGAAAGTCCCGTTTAGTCTTGCAAAATCTCGCCTTTTAAAGCCAACTTGCATGCACTATTACCAAAAATAACCATCATTTTTTTAAAAGTAATTACAAAATGATATACCTTTAAAAGAAGTAAAGTGTTTATGTAATGACAAGTGCCTCTTTATTTCCTACATATCCCTGTTCCACCAAGGCACGGTCCTGAAGCTAAGCACAGACTGCTGCACTATATCGGCAAGCTGTTGAAACCAATCACTTAATTAATCCATTGAAATAACAGGTGCACTGTTTTTTCAGTGTGCACTTGGGCAGTTACACACGGCCGTTGCATTCTATAGTTTTCTAAACCTCTCAACGAATATTAAGTCAATGGATTGATAATACCTCATCGGTGCATTTCCTTGACAGGCAGCTCATCTAATGCCTTAGGAATTACTCTTAAACTGTTTTAAGCTTGGTTATTAATTGTTTGACAAAACAATTAAACTAATAATGTTGGATAATTTCAGTAGAAAATATGACACGATCACAATTTCACTTTCTTTATCATCGACCAATCGTAGTCATTTTGAAATTGTGAGAAAGTAATCATACCATTGTATTGAATAATTTAATTTATACGAATTGTACTGCATGCCTTCGATCTCCCAACAGAAAAATGATCACGTTCAGATGAAACGAAATAAGAATATAAATTAATAATATATTCAGAACATAACACTGCATCCTACCGACATACATATATTCACGACCAGCTATAGGACTTCAGTTCAGTACAAATTAAAGGTCCCATGCGATGTAAAGTCTTTCATGCAATTTTTGAAAATGCACCTTTGCGTCCCATTTCATTTTATTTTTAATTTGTGTTTTGCCATTTTCAAGGGTATTTTGGTACCTTTTTGGTTTTTATGTTGATGCAAATTTCCATTTTCATGGCAAAGCTGTGATGTCATTCAAGGCAGAAACGTCAATGTTACAGCTATTTCAGCACAAAAAGTTGCTTTAATTGTGGATATTTTTTAGTCGTTAATTTTCTTTTCTTTGGTAATTTGTGGTTGTGTAAGTACGTGGCAGTAAGTCAATGCCAGTGGGCCAACGAGCAACCTTTTCTCACAAATGTTTTCAATGAGCAAATTTTGGGTTCACAGAAAACCCCTTAACTTACTAGTGTCGTCCTAGCATGGAATTATTTTAAATGTTTAAAGAAGTGCATTTTCAATAAAATGAACCAAAAAGGGCTGTCAAATAATTTTCATACATTAAAGAGGAGTAGAAAGCTGCACAAAATGTGTCCCTAAGGAAAATTCCTCGCATGGAAAATGCGGACTAATTAAATATGGTAAATTGGGGGCACAGTTTAAAAAAAACCCACATTTTTTCCAACGGTGGTCGGCTGACCGGCGTTGGAAATCGATCCAAAAATCCCACTTTTCTTTAAAATGATTGCACCTCATGCAGCTGCCATCATTTTGCAGGTGCTTTAGACTGTCATTCACTAACAGTCCAGTAAGGTATTGCATAATAATTTGGTATTTTTCAATGTTTGCAAAATGTTGTATATTCCCTTTAAGTCACGACAATTTTTGTCACCCTTTGCCCGCAGGGTACGGAGTTACTAGTCTGGTATGGGGACAGCTACCGGCAATTCATGGGGATACCCGTCTCCATGAGAGGCATAACGGGCAGCAAAGCGCAGACAGAGAGCGAGGATTTACAGAGTAAGTTAACTATATTTGGATGACTCATAAACGGCAGTCAAGCAATAATATATTTCAACCCACCCCCGAAAAAAACCCAATGATATTTATCATCTGTATTGCTGTAGCACTTGTCAAAGGTTGTATATGCATAATTGAGAGTATTTCTCACAAAAAGTCGTCAGAATGACAAAAAACTGAACTTCACAAAATGTGTTTAAAGAGGTGAGCATTGCGTTCCCTGTATAGTCTTAGACTCCGAATCAGCCGCTTGATCATATTCGGTTTCAAAGGTATTGAACTTGGTGGTGATGCATGTGAAAACGGTGGTTGTTTGTCCTTTCTTGAGCATGCAGCAAGTCTAAGATGTCATTGTGTAGGTTGGGTAGGCCTAGTTTTTGTGTGTATTAAATCTGAAATTGTTTCTGCAAGTAGAGATTTCAAAACAGCAAACTCGTAACAAAATCAGACGAAAAGGCTCTACAGAGCCACAGAGAAACGCATCAAGTATTCCATCAAGCGATCCACTGCATTCAGTATCAAACCCTAAAGCACTCAGGATAAGTGATCAGTATTCCGCCGACTTGGTCGAAGGCACTAAGCCGTTCATCCACCGTTTCATCCGGTGGACAAGACAAGCAAATAACAGAGTACGAGCAAACAAGCGAAGACGTTTGGAGAATTCGGCTGAGCCGTAGGGAGGTTGCAGTGCAGCACGAAAGACGGCATACAAAACATCCCGCGAAAAGCCATTATAGAGTTCCCAAGTCTGACGTCAGCTGTCTTTGTTCTGGTTTACGCGCTGAGCTCTTCATACACTTAACTTGGACCAGAATACGCGGCACACTTCGGCACTCTATCCGTTACGTAAGTGTTGGAACCATCATTGTAACCATTGGAACCGGTGTCATATAAAAATACGACTCCTCTGAAAATCAGACTCCTGTTCCCTTTTATTGGTTAATCCCTCTCCTAATCATCATACGTACGTATGCGCAATACTACCAATGAGTCCACATTGTAGGGAGTCGGATATTTACGCTATACCGGAGGTAGTGCAAAGTGGCGTGTTTAGACGATGGGCGCTAGTGCGTGCGCGTGTATGACGCAGTCACTTACGAACAGGAGTTGAGGCGGGACGACGCGCGCGCGTCGCACGCGTTGTTAATCACGCGCGCATTTGGGCAACCCTATTGGTCGAATGAGCAATGTCGTACGCGTATACGCGTACGACAAGTGCGCGAGAGCGTGGTGCCACTAGTAAAGCAGGACGAACTTAGAGGGCATCTTTTGCTGTTTTGTATCTTTTGCATTTGCTATTCAGTAACAATGAATGCACGAAATGTGCACTCATAGTCCCAGCAAATCAAATGCATTGTTCTCTAAGATGGCTGCTATACGTATAAGGTCTATAAATCTGAATCGACCCTTGTAAATAAGTCAGTTCCTTCCCGCGGCTGACTTAGAATAGAATTCTTCCCCGCGTGCCACGATTAAGAGATTTATTGTCTGAGCCCAGATCGCCAGGGATTAGCCTCAACATTTCCCGGGCAAGAGTACGACCGTCCACCCGGTGACTCATCATTCAGCCGAAATCCCATCGGTCGAAAAGAGTCAATTTACCGCTTGACTTGACGTCCTCGGGCCGCTGAAGTATAAGTCTATATCGTCAGTATTTTTCTCCGTTGATGACAGAAGGGAAATACAACACCAGTTTTAATCTTACTCCCATAGGTTTACTCCAGACAGGCGTATTATAATTTTTTGAGTTCCACAAAGGTAAATAAAAACATCCCAAGATTGAACTTATGGAATTTTTAGATTTCATCTCTGCCAGGCGAAGTAACCTTTGCTTAAAAAGAAATGCTCTGCATCTACAGTTTTCCTTCGCTAATTTTCTTGTTACGAAAGGTGATTGTTCCTCATCATCGATCTTTTCTTCATACTCTAACTTTTTTTGCAACAGCTCCCATTGGTTTTGTGCACGTTTTCTAACCGAGGACGTCCTCGATTCGACTCCTGTCCTCAATTACATTGGGATGTTTCAAATGTGTGTCCTCGATTTACACCATAAACAAACCCACGCACACATCACACATACACACACACAGTCGTGTTATCCTAAACTTATGAGGACCTCATCTTGTTCCCTTCTTGTGTTCCTATTGTTTGTACTCAACCTTTTACACCTTTTCTCAACATCTCATGTAAGGTTTGTACACGAAAACCTCCCGCGGACTTGGCTCGGGTCCTCGGGGCTATTGTTATCGCAAATCCCCCATTGTCCCAAGTCCTCAGTCGTAAAGGATAACAAAATCACTCTCGCAGCCTCACTTGCACAAGAATGCATGGACACACGGTCGTGTTTTACATAATTCTCGAGGACAAGACATTGTCTTTTCCTTTGTCCCTATAATATAACACCCTCCCATAGTCTTAGTATTAAACTCACGATCGAGGACCGTTTGCAACAAAAAATGAACTCTCGAGGACAACAAATTTGTTCTCCCTTTGTCTGTCTGTCCTCGGTTGTATATATTTCACGTACACGCGTGTGTGCAGCAGGGTTTTGAATAATGTCCGTTGTTTCTTCGACAGACAAAGAAGGCTACAAGTGCGATCGTTGTGGCAAGGTCTTCTCCTACAAGGACTATCGGGACAAGCATCTCAAGTACACACGATGCGTGGACAAGGGAGACCGCAAGTTCCCCTGCCACCTGTGCACGAGGTCCTTCGAGAAACGGGATCGACTCCGGATACATATCCTGCACGTGCACCAGAAACACCGCCCTCACAAGTGCACTGTGTGCGGCAAGAGCTTCTCACAGGTAAGACCGCGGTAGGGAATGGCTACGTCTGGCAATAACGCACGAGTCTATGGGAAGTGGCTTATTAGGTAGTTCCATAGCGCATGTGTATGCAGGCCATAGCAATGTAATTCAGACGTGGCCTAAGGCTGTGTACAAAAAACATGGCTACGACTAGGAGCAACACACGAGTTTATGAGAAGTGGGTTTAGGTTCTTAGCCGCAGCCTTCGGTAATTTGGTAATGTTGCTATTTAGTTATTTCAAAAACCCGGTTTCATCCACAGCTTCAATGTCTTCACATCTCTTACATGGCTTCATATCTCTAACATGGCTTCATATCTCTAACATGGCTGACCTAGAATATTGCACTCGAATACCAACTGTAGTCGGGTGCCTTCTATGATTTAGCATTCCTGTCCGCAGTGATAAAGTGTCGTGTCTTTAGGGAACACTGGAGAACACGACGCGGTGTGAAGACATAAAAACATTATGATATTCAAAATATAATCCCTGCTTTAGTTGCACGATTCGGTAAAACAGTGAAAGCGATTGGAGTTTGTCAAACGTTGGGCTTATATTCCCCAGCGCTGGAACAGAACTTAAGCAATCACAAACGCATATATGATTGATCTTTCCTCGAGTAGACCAGAGAAATGATACACCCAAGTTCATTTCGTCTGTATACAGACCGAGGCGTCAAATCTCACACTTTATGCGCATCACAACTCCGTCAGGCTTGTAGTTTTATACAGCGTGGCGGCGCGGTGCCGCACGCGCTCGGTAAAAACCCGCGTACGGCGAGGTAAAAACCCGCGTACGGCGAATGACAGAGTTAGCGTGTTGCACTTAGAGTGGTCGTGGGGGAAAAAGACGAATCGTTCGGGCGGAACTGATGACTGAGGTGAGACATGGGGATAAAGTTTCCGGTGAATTATGCAAAATTTCAGACAGCCACAGCGATTGTGTGTGTGTGATTTATTCGGCTGCGATCGTGAAAAAATGTAGACAGCTTTTGACACCCAGCTTGAATAATTTGCAGTCTAGGCCCTACTTCTTTCATTTATTTAGTGATAAAGATGGGCAATTTTTTTCCTCTATATATTTTTTTTAAATCGTGTACAAGGTAAAAATTATTAAACTCTCGCTTCCCATTAAAACAGAACAATGCATGTCACTGTTGAAAATTACACAAGCCAGGTGTGCCATTCAAATCAAACATCGGAAACATCGGAAGAAACAAATCTTAAAAGTGAGCCCATTTATGCTATAGACCATTTTCGTGTTGCGGCCATCTTGACTTTTTTCCCATTCAAATCAACGTAACCAAAGCGAGGCTGGAAGGAAAAATAGTCTGGTTCCTTTTTGCACCAAAAAATAAGTATCATTCAGTACTGCTATTGGATACTGGGAACATGACTAAAATGGTGGCAACATGATAACGGTCTATACATTGCTTATCTTTTATTTACTGTGAGGAAAATATACTAACAACTAGCGCCCTCTGTCGGTATATCAAGTGTTCAATAGGTCATTTATGTTTGGGCGCATGAGGGCGCTGTTTAGAAGCCATTTTGGAGGTACAAATAGATATGAATGCCAGGTTAATTGGCGTAAGTACAAAATGTTGTTCTTATGAAAAAAAATGAAATTGTACAATTTTAAGTTTCAAATTGAATTGAAAGTTAATAAATTGCTTCCAAGATCGTGGTGATTCGACCTTTTTTTCAAGAAAAAATGGCGCCCTCATCCTCCAAAAAAAATATGGTTTTGTGGGTTACAGACCAGTAAATAGACTGCCGTAGATTAATTATGCGTACTTCCCTAAACTATTAAAAATACTCACATCTCTCAAAGGTGCTTGAGACACACATCAATTTAAAGCTTATTTCATTATCCTTTATTTTCTGTTCAATTTTTAGGGGGTTAACCAATGACTTTTGGAAGAAAATTCCATCCAAAGATGATCACCCCTAAAAGTAGTCCTGAAGCCCATCGGCATGGGCGTCACCAGGACTTTTTTCCAGGAGGGGGGGGGGGGCAATTTTTTCCCCATATGTCCTTCACTTTTTCATTATATTTTCAATTTATCATTTTTCTGAGCGTGAGCAGGGGAGCATTGCCCTCCACTCCCCTCCCCCATCAAATTAACAGCAATATGGCTTCGCACCTCTTTTTCCTTTTTTTTTTCGTTTTCCAAGGGGGGAGGCAAGCCGGTCCCCCTTGCTCCCCCCCCGCGACGCTCATGTCCATCGCCATTTTGAAAAAGGATGCCTACGCTCCATTGCAAAATAGAGCCATTTGAGGCCTAATTTCATCCACATTTCACATTTTACAAATCATTGAGTTTACGGCCCTCAAAACGCTCAAATAGACCGTTTACATGCTGCCACCATCTCAGTCATGTTCTCTGTATCCAATAACAGTAGGCCTACTGAATGATAATTTTTGTGTGTGCAAAAAGGAACCAGACTATTTTCCTTCCAGCCTCGCTTTGGTTACGTTGATTTGAATGGGAAAAAAATCAAGATGGCCGCAACATGATCTAATGGTCAATACCGGAGAATTTGAGGGCATGCAAATGGTGATTTGGTCGGCGTAGGCAATTTCGGGCCTATTTACTGGTCTGCACCCTTTGGTGCTAATAATAGGTTATTATTAAGAACACACGGGCTGCTCTGACCTGTACATATACGACCTCGTTTGACAGGCTCGCGTGCGCGCCGCATGTCGCACTGAATCACCGCCGTACCAGCACGGCAGTGATCGTGGTTCTGGGCCGATGTGTTAACTTCTCTCCCACGCGGTCCACTGGGAGCACGAAGCTTGCTGATGTTTCTTCTGGATTGATGGGCCTGTCTGTATGCAATGTTTGCTTAGGCCAGGATTGACGATTAATATTTCATGGGCGGCATGCCACACGTACGTGCGCCAGATTTATTGGTGTCCATGCTTTAGGTGCGTAAGCCTATAGACAGAAGAACCTTGTTGTTACAAGCAAAAACATAATTGGATGGCAAGTTGTAATTTTCATTTGAAAAATCATCGCAATAAATATAGTTGGCATTCTAGTTTTCTAGTTGCGTTTGGGGTTAATAAAGTTGCATCCGAGAGTACAAATTGATGTAATGCCTCGAGTTGGAACTTTCTGCGAAGTCGGAGTGCCCTGGCCTCGTGGTCTGGAGCATTGAATTCTTGGTCTACATGTAATTCTGCAGGTTGTGGGTTCGAGTCCAGCCTGGGGTCATGGTGCATGTACCCTTGAGCAAGGCACTTTGTCACTCATTGCTTCTCTCCACCCAGGAGTAAATTGGGTGCCCGTGAGGGCAGAGAGTGTTCTTGTGATTGATTTTAGCTGCCTTGCGCCGAAATGGCAGCATGGAGCTGTATACTCCCCAGGGAGCTGAAATGGTATTTGGAATGTTTCTTTGGCCCAATGAGCAGGGTAATAATGATGTAGCGCCTTGAGCATCAATTTACTATAGGTAGAAACGTTCGCTTTATAAATATACACACTATTGTTAGGCTGGATTTGAGGACATTTTAAAATCAGAAAATACAACTATAGCCTATCCACTTCGTTCTCTGACATAATACTCCCCCAATCGGAATGACCTCATTTGAAATGAGGTCGATCTGTGGCCGGCACCCATTAATCCTATACACCCAAGCCATATTCGTCTAGTTCACATTTAGCTGGAGTTGTTCAGTTTGAATATAGCAAAATAATGCAAGAAACTCTGCCTTTGTATACAATATTCCCACTCTACTTTCAACAGTTTTAATTCAAATTATAGGTCGAATTGATTTGATTTCGAAGTCAAGTAGGTCTCAGAGATATCATCAAGACGTCAAGCAATTCGTGAACCGCATATTAGGTGAAATTACACAACTTGAGTTATTGTTCAATGTTTGGGGTTAAACATTTCTGGGACAACGTCCGCTTGAATACGCCAATATATTAGCTCTCTCATCAAAAGCTGTTTCTCCACTTTGTTTTCGGTACATTTTACGGTTAGCCTAGTAGCATTCAGGGAATAAAAAAGAAATAATCCTAGCTTATCGAGACCATCGGTGGTTACCAAGCAGAAACTAGTATTATATTTCCCCCTAGGTGTGCGATTCTTGTCGAATTCGTGTCCCGATTCGGCCTTTTAAATAGATTTATCGCGCATCCATCGGGGAAATAAAGCGCTAGAGCCAGAATATTAGCTTTATTGGCGTCCATCGAGATCATGTGATGATATCAGGTGGTTTCTTGGTTCTCAGATGTTGCCGAAAGCAATGTCCGTGTGGACGGTTCAATTTGATCGCAAAGGATTCTTACGTGCGACCGTCGCGTCGACCGGAGAAAACGTTCTTCTATAAGACAGCGATCGTTTCAAACCACAGTTGCTTTTTGCTCCACAATTTTCAGGGACCGTCTTTTACAACCTTTAAAATCAATTTCGGTGGTGAATACAAGCTAGGACAAACGAGTCGCATCCCAAGTCAAAAGGACATCTGGAAAACAAATTCATACTCCTCCGCTCTATTAATGATGCCATTGGTCATCGGCTCAGGCTGGAGATACGTCTATCAGCACAACCGTGACCAGGAGTGCAAACGGGTGGATTTGTGAGGCGTCTAGACAACTCGAGATGTAGTTATAAGCTACGAAGCGATGGATGAGCATGTCTCACCGCGGACCCTAGTTTACTCCACCGCGCACGATCGCGACACAGCCCTGGGGGGAACTCGCTGCAAAAAACACCTGTCTTCGTTTTACAAACGTCTCGATTCTCGAAGCTTATCGACCCCATGTGCGGATCTCTCTGAAAAATCTCCCGTTTCACTGTGTATAACACTTTTAGAAACCTCAAGAGGTTGCGATTTCGCCTTTGCAAATGTATGTGATTAATTTCCCGTAAAATGTAGACATTTGGGTCAAGTATTATGGATTAATGACCTACTTAGTACTTAGGTTTAGTATATCACACGTTGATTATTAAGACCTTCGGGAAAACCTCTCACTTCATTATACTAAAACTAGAAAGCACTCAGAGAGCGCAAACCTCCGCCAAGGCTAAACAATTCCCCGCCATATTGTCAGTACACCCAAAAGAAATACTCGCATAAATGGTGAAGAATTCTTAAACAATCCTGGATCCAGACCCAGATCCGGATCGATTTGTACTTGTACCAAGGACCACCCCTTAAACAATTTTTCCATGCAAATCCGTCCCTAACGTTTTCAGTTATCTTGTTAACAGACAAACCAAGTAGCCATCAAACAAACTGACCAAATCTAATGAAAACATAACCTCCTCGGCGGAGGTAGCACAATTTTTTTTTGATATACGTACCAAAATCCAGAAACATTTCTTGCACAAGACCCCTTGCTCATGTGTTAACGCTTTGTACTTTCTCACTGAAGTTTAAATGACGCTACCCTCCGTGAGGGCGCTTTATGCAAGATTCCTATTCCTGATATTTCCTAATTTGAAATAAATCAAATAACCACATTGTTATTGTGTGTTTCATTTCTTGCTAGTCCTCGAGTTTGAACAAGCACATCCGTGTCCACAGCGGTGAGCGACCGTACAAGTGCGTCTACTGCAGTAAGGCTTTCACCGCGTCTAGCATCCTGCGCACGCACATACGCCAACACTCTGGAGAAAAGCCATTTAAGTGTGAGTCAAAAAGAACAAACAAAAAAACACATCAATTTAAAATTTAAACACAGTGAATATCCGCTCCGTTCATCAACTGAGGCAAGATGGCGTCGGACGGTCACCCCAACCGTACTTTCTTTGCCGGTGAGGGGGTACTTGTGAACGGAGCGGATCTTGGAGAGTAAACATCTATTCTTATTTTTCGTGTTGCCTAGAGGGAGAGAATATCAGCCCCATCCTCTGAAGTTGCTTCAAATTGATTTTGTTTTGACATCTCGTTTTTTCTTCCTTACTTATTTCTTCTTCAGGCAAGCACTGCGGAAAAGCCTTCGCGTCACACGCTGCGCATGACAGCCACGTGCGTCGGACGCACACAAAGGACAAGCCCTGCGCATGCCCAGTTTGCGGCAAGACATTCAGTCAAAGCTACGAGCTGAAATTTCACATGAATATCCACCCAGGTTGGTACAGTGACAAAGACTTCCAAAATGTAATACAAAAATGTAAATGTTGGTCTATAATTGTAATTAGGCCTATGTGCATTGCTTTGAATGTTATATATACGGATAATCATAGATGGCTACCCCATTTGCTGCCCCCAAGAGGTTCAAACGGGCTAACTTTTTGCACAGCCTTTGAGTTTGAAATACGGGATGAAAAAGATGGTCACCCTATGTGCGTGCTGCCACCAATAGTTTGAAAACTGCCAATGATAATTAATATTACAAAAGCTGATGTCATACATTTTTATGTTATTTTTTTTCTGCAGATGACAAGCCCTACGATTGCAAAGAATGTGGGCGTGGTTTCGCCAGTGCTGCGGCACGTGACCACCACCAGTCCATGCTTGAGTGTGGTAGACACACCCCTTCGAGATTCATTGCGGCCAATGACGTCACCGACGCCATCTTGAAATAGCTACGCCAGCCTCTCAAAACAAAGGTGTTTGGGTTTTGTCTGCGACAATTCTCCTGACATTGCTAGAAAAACACAAGACACGTTAGTGTGTAAACACAGCGTACGAAAAGTGAACGCTCTCTGTTAATGTTGGAGAGAAAGCTCTACAAAGTTATGTTTTCATCTTGAGTAAATCACCGTGTGCAGCTGCAAATTAAGCTTTGTGAAAAGCAAACGACTTTTGTTTATAGTCACGACACATCTGACTCAAAATGACCACTGGATGTTTGTGATCTGTGAAGGCAAGATTCTGGGAAGAAATCGCTGTCAAGCATGCTAACAAACGGAGTGGATCAATAAAAGTATGGGAGCACGCACAGCTTTAAAATGTATATTATAGTAACAAGATGTTTTTATATGCTGGTGTGCTGGTATCAAATCTTACCTATGCTCGTATATGTTTAATAGTGAGGCAGATAGGGGAAATATTTGGGGGAATTGTGCCTTTGATGATACGAGCATGGCATTTGGCACACAGTCAGAGTATGTCATGAGAAAGATATTTGACTATATTATAGTGCCATCACAGATCCTTTGAAAAAATATAGGTAGGATAACAAGCAATTTTCAGAATTTATAAAATGGCTGCCATTGCTTGTTATACCAGGTTTTTTTCAAAGGACAAATCTGCGATGGCCCTATAGCCAAATATCTTTCTCATGGCATACTCTGTGTGCAAAATTCCATGCTTGTATCATCAAAGGCACAATCCCATCACCTATCTGCCGCACTGTAAGAGAAAGACAGCATCGCATACAGGGTGAGTAAAAAAACCCACCGAAACCCAAATGTTGGGACCATTGTTTCAGTGAAGTTCATAGGCTTTCTTTTAGTACAAGAATCATTCAAATCACTCATAGTTACGGAATTTTAAACACAACCAACGTTTTAAGGTTCTGTCCACGGATCACAAAAAAGTTCATTGTTCTTTCAGCAAAACGAAAAAAAATCACAAAGGGATGTGTTTGAATTGTTTTCGTTTTGCTGAAAGAACGCACACTTTTTTGTGATCCGTGGACGGAACTTTAAGATGGTGGTTGTCTTTAAAATTCCATAACTTAAAAAGTACATAAGTGATTTAAATGATCTCTGTACTAAAAGAAAGCTGATGAATTGGGCTTTTATGTCCTAGATTTTGAAAGTGCTACATGCAGAACTTCAATAAAACAATAGTCCCGACATTTGGGTTCCGTTTTTTTTTTTACTCACCCTGTATACTTATTATGTTGAGCAAAGTGTACGCACACTCTCTCTCTAGCTTTCATTGACTCGCCTGCCTATTGAGATCATTACTTATATGTCTGTACTTAATTATTAAAATTGGCTTAACGAAACATGGATTCTTTTGGATTTTAGTGCGGTCCCCAACTGTTATGCGCGGAACAGAAATGTAAAGTCACCCGCTTGACGTAAGCTGTCGGAACCTTCTTTGCGTGTTAGTATAACGGTAACCGATCGAGCTGCGACATTTTCAACTTTGAAAAGAAATTAGCAGATCAACTGACAATACATGTATATCCTCAAACTTAACATTGTGTAGGGAGCCCTCTTGTGGCGTAGAATGTAGATCTCAAGATGGATGTAAACCGTATTCTATTTTTAACAATATTTATTTTGTACATAGCGGCGTAAAAATTTAATTTATTATTCACGCACAATATTCAGTGTTTGTAAATTTGTTTAGTCTTACATCCGCGTATACAATAAATCAATTATTTAAAAGCAACAACTTTGTACAATGTAAATTATTTAAATTTTGGGTCTTCGGATCCACTGGTGAAAAGAAAGTTCCTACTATCATAAAATATAAATCAAAATATACAATTTGGAATGACTTTATGATTTAAAGAGTGATACTCCAGCACTTCCCAAGTTGTTTGAAGTTGAAAATTTGATTAATTTACTACCAGAAGTGCCATCAGTTTGTCTTTTCGCTGAATGCAAATGTCGGTAGCGCACGATGAAACAAAGCAAAATCAATACCCAGACCATTACTCAACGCTTGTTTATTCTTCCCTGCACTGCGTTTACTTTGCAGATAAATTGGGTACATTTCTTCAACTGTAGCGTAAGTAGACCATCGATCACACACGCAAATATCTCATGGCATGATACATCATCAATAACGTACGCAAATACCTGCGAGTTAAAAAGGTATAACATAATGGGTTCAGTGACAAACGCCATCTCTGTATGTTTTTCCAAGATGGAGAAATTGATCACTTTTCTCGTCTCGAAAGCTCCCAGTGAATCAATGTAAATCCACGGGGTATCGTTACGTACAGTACTTGATAAACAAGTGCTTATTTGATGAGAGGCGATATGCACTCTCCGTAAAAGAATCTCGATCGCTTTCTATCCGGTTTGTGACTGTGTCATACACGCGCACGCACCACTGTTTACTAGGCCCATTAGCTAAAACACTTTGCACTACTTCCGGTTCCAAAAGTTCCAATGCTGCTCAGGGTGTAGTGGGCGTGGTTTAAGTTGAAATGACGTCACACTTTAATACCAACCAGATACAGCATGACGTCATCTTTGACGTCATGCATTGCCGTTGCCGTCTTTCATATTTATGCTGGTCCTAGAGAGACAGACGCAGTGCTATCGTATAGGATTATCCAGTAACGTCAATGAATGGCTTGAGTGGAATCTGCGACCAGAAGTAGAAGCTTTTACTGCGGTGGTGTTACGCTCACGCGCTTGCTGCACGCGTTCTTAGAGACGAGGCGCAAGTGCATTTTGGTAATCCTATTGGTCGAAGGAACCGAAAAGAAATTTGAACGCTCCGAGAACAGTTTTACCAGGCTTGCCCGTTCTCGTTTGTCCTTTATCGTACACAGTGATGTCAACATATTTCAACCGACACATTGTTATTGCAATAAACAAACAATATTTGGTTTGCATATTTTTTTTTTAGTGAAAGTTACACTTATGAGACGACAAAATGAGACATGGTTCAGAGTGTTCAGTCATGCATGCTTGACTATCGTTGACGAACTTCAAGATAATTATCTCGATATACATCGTTTGCAGATAATAGATGGCGCGGAGCGTAACGGCTCATTTAACCCCGCGGTCTCGCGCCATTCGCAAAGGGACTCATTGCACGAGATCGAACGACCGAACATCTGCAACAAATTGCAAACGTGAATGTTTAAAGAAACGCCTCGTGGACATTAAACTCATAAACATAATTTATTATGTATAGAAATCTTGTTCCACTTAAGGGCAATATGTGAATACGTTTGCAGAGGTTATTTTTTTTTAATGTGATGGCGTCAGTCAACGTAATCCTGATTATACTGTAAAATAAACCTGTCTTAGGTAGTTACCAGGATCGATTCAACTTTGGAAGTGAAGCTTTTGCAAAGTGCTTTAAAATCCAATCCTCTTTAGCTCGTTCTTAAAAGGGCCAACCAATTTTGAAAATTAACTCGTCATGTTTTTGTACATGAACCCCCATCCATCAAGTAAAAAATTGCAAGAGAAAACGAAATGACAAAAATAAGCATGTTTTATCCCCCGTTCAATCATAAAATTTGAAGAGCACGCTACGTGCATTGTTTGTCTTGTGAATAACTTGCTCTGGGGAAAAGCGCGCAAGTGCGCAATAACGGACGACAATTACGCATGCGCAGTAATGCAATTGCAATCTCCTCACAGTGCAATGTCAGCACATTGGCTATTAAAAACCAGCATCACCTTGTATCCGGCATACTATGCCCATGGGGCCACCAACACCACTAATATTTGAAAGAAAAGCCTACCTTCCTACGGAACTCAACGATTGTACCGATCGAGCTATAAATTCCCATCCCATAATCATCCCGAGAAATGCCAAGTCACGTCTCGAACCGCGACTAGCTACTGACGGCACTGCATTCATCCGTGCGTGTTGCACCCGAGCGACCCCGTATTTACACAACTAATGGATGTGCGTAAAAGCACTCAGCATAACGCAATACTGTCGACCCAAGAGAAAACGGAAGACAAAAAATCTCTCTATTTTCACCACGATCTTTTCAACTTGCCGTACAATACTTGTCCTCCACCGTGCATTATTTATTTTTCTGTTATGGCTTGAGAAGAAGAGATGGAGCAAGCAACGGGAAAGATAAAAGGACAAGTGATCTTGAAGAGTTCCCGGGAGTATGGGTTTTCGCTATCCTGTCATCAATAAAGATGTGATAAACGGCAAACAAAAATCTTGACTATAGCGAAGCAGCGCTAGCTCTAGAAGCACCGCGCACTGCTGTGCTCTGTCGCTACGAGAGTATTGCAAGTATGGGCAGCCTTGCGATAAAAAGCATGTAACCTGCGAACAGTGCTTCATACAACTCGCAGGCGCCACTTCCGCCGAAAATTAGGCTTGCCTTTAAAAGGGTTATCCTACGCGGCTCCCCATACAGGGTGAACCCCCCCCCCCCCAAAAAAAAAATTAATGCAGCCCTGAAACATTTGCCTTTTTTTTCAAAAACGTGATCGGTGAATTTTTATGTTTTGGACATCACATTAAAGCTGAGAGAATTTTCTTTGAAATACTTGAAAAAAATCTTGAAACAGCACATTGGATTGCTGAGAAAATGCCAATTATGTAAAAGAAGTGATATTTTTCATCCGTTCCAATGGCATTACCACAGATAAGGGATTTAGTGTACCTATTTGTGCATGAAATGCATGTAGCGCATTGTGTCCTAACCCTCGCAAACAACACGGTACATAATATGACAAGAGTACAAATTAATTTGATAGAAATACCTTTTATTTTCCACCTGAACAGACACCTTATCCTTTTTAGTCCTATACATTAAACCTTTTCATCATCATAAATATGTCAAAATATTACAGAAACTGCACAAATGAAATACAATTGCACAGTGGGCTTACAAACATGTTTCACTGTTTGAAGCACTTTTGGAACGGATAAGAAAAATCACTTCTTTTGCATAATTGGCATTTTCTCAGCAACCCAATGTGCTGTTTTCATGATTTTTTCAGTATTGGAATGAAAAAGCTCTCAGCTATAATCTGAAACACAAAACATAAAAAAATCACACATCACGTTTTTGAAAAGAGGCAAACGTTTCAGGGTTGCATTTTTCCCGGTCACCCTGTACAATTTACAGATCACAACTCAGTTGCAAAATTTACAAGGTAACTATTTTTTTTTATAGAGAACTAAAATGACAGTCCAACAAGGCAACTTGTGAAACTCAATGCAATTGTTTTGAATAAAATATGATATATTTGCCACACACCATCAATTCCAATTTAAAAGCGAGGTAAAATATCGTTCATCGGAACTTTGATCATAAATGAACTCGTTAGCCACAGCTGACAAAATTTCAAGCGACTTTGACACATAATTTCACCGAAATTGCATTCACACATTAACATGCAAGCACCAGTGCGTCCTTTTCTAAAAGGTGTCGAGCATTTTCCGAGTTTTCAAGCAGAAACAAAAATGACGAAATGAGGCAGTAAAACCCGAAATGTCAGCTTGTTTAAACAAAATAAAATTGCATCATGTTAATATTGATCTTATTTTGCTGAAAACTGCCCGTTGCTTGTTGAAAATCTCCACTCCTCTTTGGTATAGCAGTTCGTCCGCTCGCAGGACGCTTCGGACCTCCGGATCCTGCCTGAGTTCGAGTAGCTGCTCTTCCACGGAAGGATCGCTTGTAGCAGGACTGGTGGGGCTGGTTCTGTTTTGGTCCGGTAGTTTGGATGCGGTGACTGGATTGGCAGTTTTGTTGTAGGACCCCGTGTTGTCGTGGCGTCCTGCGCACAGATCGTGTACGGGAAGCTTCAATGCCTCTTGCGCCATTTGCAGTGATTCGTCGTAGTGGTCTACCAGCATAATGACTGTGAACCAGCGTTCGAGGTTCTTAAGGCAATACTTAAGTAGTGCTTCGTGTTGGGTGTGGTTTAGGGTCAACTCCATGATGAGTTTCTCACGAAACCAACAAGGGGCGCTCCTCAGAGAGTCCCGTTTGTTTAAGAAGTCGTGTGGAACGCCCTCTACGTCGACATTACGCATCCAGCGGGTTTTATCGCTGCAGAACTCGGGCTGGAATAAGAGTTGCCGGAAGAAGAAGCTTCCCTGGTGGAGGGCCCATTCGCGAAGGGACACTTTGTTCGCGACCTGGGCTGAGCAGAGTTGATCCTGCCGTGCGTGCTTGCAGTACGAGTGCGAGGACAGCGTCCGCTCGTACGGGTCACGCAGAACGGTGAAGTACGCGCACGGCTTCCGGTAGCGATCGCAGATGCCGAAGGCGTATCCGCCGAAGTACGTGTTCGGAGAGCTGCGCATCATGAAGCGCCTGCTGCGTATGAAGCGCGCCTCAACGGCCAGCCGTCCCTCGCTGCTCAATACGGGCCCCGTAGTCCGACCCAGATCCGCACCTGCTATGGTAGCCAAGCATCGCTTAGTCGTCGTTCCAGCCGCTTTATTATGATGCAGATACACAAGGACGCTGCTTGAGTCAAACTTTGCCACTTTGTCCTCGTCTGAAGACGACCGTGACAAATTGTCGTAGTTCAAGAAATAGTTTGGAATGAATTTCTGTCGCTCAGGCCACGGGAAGGGTACGACATGTCGCTTGTCCAGCCTCTCTCGGCCACGTGACAGGCTGTGAATGTTGCCGTTTACCCGGGCGGCGCGGTAGAGTGGCCTGACAGGGTTAAAGGGGAACTCCCCCGTGTGAATGACCGGATCCCGATGTGAGGAGGGCGGAGGCGGCCACAGGGCGGCACCACTGTGAACAATAACGACAAAAAATGAAAAGAACTTGTCAGTTTAAAACCCAAGTTGACCATAATGAGAAATTAATTATTAGGCCCTAAACAATAAGATCAAATAACTGCAGCAAAATTTAATGTTTCCACCTCTTGGTCGTCGCAGGAAAAATCCCGCACAAGTCGATATTCTATTGATATCGCAGTCAAAATCTCCTGTGCCAAATCCTTGCGCATTCAGATCCAGACGCGATGTTTTCATTGAATCTGTCTCTTCGAAACTCCTACAGTCGGCCAACCGCTGTTTTTGGTGTATTATACAGTATGTTCCCCAAAAAGTGTCCGTCTGACTATTTTTGAAATAGAAAACCTGAATAATGAAAGTGTAAGCAACCGCACGCTCAGTCGCAAATTAATAAAATAATAACAATCAAATTAATTATACATCAATCTTGAATTTGAAAAGCCTTTAAGTTTTCAGCATGCATTAAAAGGTGTCACTGTTGTGGATACACTCAAAACTACCGTTACCGCGTTCACTAACAATTACTAAATCAAGAGTGGAACACGACATCCGATCGCAGCTAGAAATGTAAACACCGGCAATGTTTATCTCTGTGGAAATAAACCCAGCCATCAAATTTGTACATCTCGCCGATTGTAAATAATCCCCTAAAAAAGAGTAAGCGCATCTTCCGTGGCATTTACATTTCACACACAGATGGATTCGTATCCATCTGTCACAACACGCACATTATGGATTGATTCGCTCAAGAGAACCATGAAAGCTAGACTGGTTTCCACTTTTTCCAGACGGCGGTGGCAAGACGGATTCGATCCCAAAAATAACCATCGCTGAATAAAGATTTTGATTATTGCTCGATATTTTGATGGATAAACCGAGAATAAAAGCCCACATATAATATTTAAACCACAAGTCCCTACTGACAAATTAGGACAAAAAGCCTTCATTTACAAAATGTGGTTGCATTGTCAAACTTAGTACCCAAACAAAGTGCTGTAGTCTTCAATTGTGAAGTTAGCACTCAATTGGAAGAAGAAGAAAAAAAATAGCAAAACCGAAGTAAACTGCTAGGGAAAAGAATTAGTTTACAAATTGCATTTGTCTGAAAGCTATTTTTAGCAAACTTTAAATTTGAGCCACGAGCCTTTGCCAGATTTTGTGGCTGCTGTAAGAGTCTTTTAGCTCTTATCTTAACCGACGTAGGAAGCTTTGCGATTACCATACAGGACCTCTACACGACAGTGTATTTGTGGTTAGAATTCTACCAAGAATTATACCGGTAATTATGTACACGCGTTAGTCATCATGTTGGATGTATCAACGGCAATGCTTTCGAAGTCCGCAAAACCACACCGACGCATCCCCTTTAATGCTTTATCAGCTAGTAACATCGACCCAGAACGGAGAAATGTAAAAAAGAAAAAAAAATGGAAAAAAAGTCGACCTGTTTCTCCGACTGTTCTCAAGCCGTCCCATTGATATTTCAATCAGCGGCTAGAGGACGGTACAACACCTCTTGCCTTCCCGCTCGGAGGATGTAATTCCATCTCATTAGCGTCTTGGCCCTCGGGCGTGAGCAACATTTTCATCCCACTTCCGCGAATGCGAGGATGCGGCGAGACGAGAGGTTTTAACGGCGCAGGCTCGCACGCTCTCGCATCACTCTTATCAGATTGAGATACAGATCTGAAATACATTTTCTCATTCTACTTCGATCCTTTATTTTTTTATATAATGATTATTTTTATTTTCTATCATTACTATTTTTCAATCTCTCTGTATAAACTAGGATGACCCCTCCAGGAAAAGTGTTTATTACACTTTCATAAAGTAAGGAATATTTCACGGAAAATAATGTTAATGGATGGAATTTCACTGTTAGAAAAAAAATTGCACATGACCATTCATGTAGTCAGTCATTTTGGTTAATTATTGCATCCCGAAGGCCGAACTGCGAAAGTTTACAACAAATTGATTATAATTCACATTAAAATAGAACTCATTTAAAATAAATACGATAAAAAAATCATATTCGCATCAACGCAGTGCCTCTCAACTGATTGCCAAAAAGAAAAAAAGAAAGAAAAAAAGAATTATGCTTTGGTTCCCGATTCACAAAATCATTCACCGTGAAGATTTTATAAGAATGATTTGTCTTTCTGATGCTCACATTTGAACTCTTGGTGGCAGCAGAGTCGTTTTTCTCTGAGCATGCGCACTTACTTTTTGTTTTTGTTTTGTTTTTGCTTTTAACAGAACGTAGAAAGATTGAAATAAGAAACTGAAGTGTCTTCCGTGAGTGGACAGCGAAAGCGCTGGAATTGGTCTTTGCATTTGGAGAAACTTTAGGCGCTCGCTGTTTTTGTTTTTGCTGCACGTTCTAGTCTTCTTGTGCCAACATTTCTGCAGGGAAGTGGGTCAGTCCGCACGTGCGTGGCATCAGAGAAAGACGAGCGTGACATCCGTGCTCTGAATTTACAGAGTTTAGGAATTATGTTTCAGGAATATTCACAAATTTCACGGGGGCGATCATTCTCCTTAAGGCATAATTATAAGATTATTTGCTTTTCATGCATAGTATTCGTTTTAACACCGCTCGAAATCCAAAGAAGAATGTTCAAAACCTAATCTATGTTGAAGTTTCAGCTCAGGTGATGTTATGCTTTTCGAGAAACAGTGAAAAACAACGCACAACTTCTTGATCACGAAACACGATTTCGTCTATGTAACTCTTTATATCTAAAAGTCAGTCAAGTGACTAATCGTTGGAAGTCACCTATACATTACATGATTTCTTCTTAATGACAGCAAGCCAGACGGAATAATATCACAGGTTGTTTAGAACCAGTATTCCACGATCCTTAATAAAGTAAGCTTTTTGATGACAATTCGGTTACCTTTGGCATTGATGCAACTGTTCCATATCCAACGATTACCTTTCGACCTTTTCTAGTTCCCTTTTGACAACTACTGTTTTCATTAAGATTTTCCTTCAAATTTCCAAAATGTGTCCACATGCACGCGGTGTTTACTACAAACCTCCCCGCAGATCTGGGGGATAAAAATAAGCGCAATTATTAAAAAGCAATTCGTCTGCAAGAAAAAGCAATAACACGTCAGCCCCGGCAGGGCCTTAACTAGCATGCGCTTGTCAATCCGGCTTCAGATCTGATATCGGAAAATCGTTTATCGGAAGGACAGCACGGCAGATCTAGGCCAAGACTTTTCCTCTATTTCCCCCCACACAGAAAGACAAATATTGTGTCTCCCAATTCTCAAATTATCGACTCCTTCGCTTCTATCTAGCCCCGGAGTAATTCCTCAAAACCCTCCGGATGTTTCCCTTTCCCTCAGAATCTTCTTGATAAATTACAGAAGACGGCTGTTTTTTTTTTCATCTAATAACGTGGAGACGGGGCATGATATATTACGCCAGCTTGCTTTGCCCTCACGGGTAACTCTAGCGCAGTAATAAAATTAGCTTCCCTTAAACGAAACCACCTTAGATGAAATTCCCTGGCAAAATTATTTCACTCTGTACAGCGAATAGTGTCCAGTTCCACACTTAATCAAATTCATCGCGGAAGGGTGTTATTTTTATGCCTTCTACAAGAAACAATTATTTCTGACCCCTGCTGCCATATGATTCTATTATTTGTTTGACCAAAACAACTTGCTGCGATGTTGAGTTGCTTCGATGCCAGTGAGACTGAAATTAGGTTTACGTACAGTGAAACATTTTCAGCACATAACACAATCATACACGTGTGGTTGTTCCCAAAGGGCTTTGAAATGTATAAAAATAGATCAGAAATGGAATGGTTATGTAAATTTTTGCACAGTGGGGGGCCTGCATTTTGCTTAAAGGGAAACATTATAATATTCAGCTTTGGTTTTATAGGCTTTTTAATGCCACGTAAACTGCATGCGAAGAATTTGGACTAGGCTTATTTAATTTTCTAACTTCTATTTTGATTTTGAAGGCAATGTCACTACATTCAACGTCTAGTTCTCCATTGTTCTCCTCGAAATGTTTTTGAATTTTTTACCAAGAGAATAATCTTTGATCAGAGACTAAACAATCAGAGATGAGACTTGAATAGGTTTGCATGGTGGACATGAACAAAGCATGGTGGGTTTTGCGGAACATGAACACCATGTGAATGATCTGTCTTGAGTTGGGTGTGAGTTGTGTGGTTCTGAAAACCATGTTGGTTTAACTCGACGTTTCGAACAGTACGCTCTCTCTGTTCGTCATCAGGATAAACGATCAGAGACTAAGTTCAATACAACAGAAAGCAAAAGAAAAAGACCCATGTTACAATGCTTATTGTTTGACTTTAAGAGGGTGTATCGTTGCAGAAACGTTTCCAGTAGATCGGGCTACAGTTTCCTGCGTAATACTGTGATGTCATTTAGTCTCTACAGCTATACGAAATGAACTTTAGTCTTGCTTTTCTAACCAAACATCCGATTTTTCATTTTGTTATGCACATGAAAGTGTTCATGTGTTTCTTGAATGTTAGACACATTTCTATTAAAGTCATGTAAATAAAACAAAAATTGGAAAATTTGGTTTGTATTTAGCCCAATGTTGGGCAACATACCAGCCGCCGACAATCTTGGCCAAATTCTTCTCAATCATTGGTCAAGTTTGTACCCTTATTAACCAACGATAAGGCCAATTCATAGCACTGTTTAGCAAATAACATTATCCAAAAGTGTTTAGCCTATTTTTGCTTGTTTTACAGTGAATTATTGGAATGATAATGAATAATGTGCGTGATTGATTCTTCATGATGATGTCTATAATCATCATCATTTTCATTCAGAACTCACTTTTAAGGATTCATTTTCACCCTTGTGCCTTTTTGCCGATGTTTTTGTAAATTCAGATCATAAGTGGGGGGGGGGGGGGAATGTTACAAAAAAAACATCAACATGTAGAAGACACTGACTGGCCTGTGTTCACAACCAGCACTTCAGCGGAGGCTTTTTTGTCCATGTAAAGTACAGCGCGTTCGCTATTAATACCAGGCACGCATGAAACTGCACTTAGTGTTCCTTCCGCCGCATCAGCGCGAGTAACCATGACAACCAAGCAGAGGAGATTTACTGATAACGATGGCCAGTTGAGGGGCCTGACCCCGGAGTTATTTTATTTTTTCATTTTCCTAAATTCTCCCTGGATCGCTAGGATTGACGGTGAATCCAAGCTCCGTGTAATTGGGCGGCATGTCAGTGCCTAGCCCGCGGGCCCTAGGGAGAAGACGCGCTCCTCCACCGTTGCTATACGCGCTGGAATTTTTCAAACGACGATCACTCTCGCAAAATTCACGCGGGTGTTTTTCAATCTGTCTTTCTTTATAGAACTGATGCTAGTTATTTAATCGGAAACACTGATTTTTTGTCTGCTTGTGCTTCGTTCCTTTTGAATACAGTGTTGACGTTTTTTTATGCGGGAAAGAAAATATCTAATCAGATTCGGTTGTCTGTTTTCAACTGAAGAACTATTTAAATTATTTGTATCACTTTTTTCGTTTTTACGTTTTTCAATGATGGCACGCGAAGCATGCAATGTTTGCATTTTACAAAGTGGTAAAGCAACACTCGTCCTGTTTTTTTAACGGCACCCCCAGCAAGACAGACGCGAAGCCGATGTCGATTTATAACATGATTTATAACATGGTGCAGATTTTTTTTTCTGAGAGATTCACCATACCATCTTTTACGATGGAAAATGTTACGCTTTGACGTAAACCATGTAATGGATACTTAAGATGATTTATGTTGCAATGGATAATCCTTTTACTGACTCTCGAGTTCACTATTTTATGCTGCAAGGAAGAAATATAACTGTGTCTCATTTCGATACTCCTGTACAGCATTCTTGAATAAAATCCTACAAATTTTTACTTTTTGCCGGGACTGAAACTTGATAGAATACTGTAAGATTTTGTGTTTGTAAATAACGAGGATTTTGATGGTGATTTTTGATCGTTTTCCTGTGCAAATCTATATTCATTCATGCAGGCAAAAAAACAAAACAAAAACGGACATGTTTCACTGTGTTTGAACGGTTAATGATCATTGGTTGGCAGCTGAATTTTGTGGTGTTTGTATTAAAATAGACATAACTTGTGAACAAAGTATGCAAATTACGTGAAATTTTCACAGTTTCTAGTCAATAATATGCATTTTATCCCTAAGTTATTTTTGATAAGTGGAGCGATTGGTATGGAGCGACATATTAAAAGAAAAAGGTTTATCTCATTAGGTCACTTTCTTTTTGACTCACCCTGCATAACTTGCTCTTAGTACAGCCTAAGATTTGGGGGAAAAGACAATAGTTGAGGACAACCTTTAAACAAAATAAATTCATAGTAAAAGTACTGCGTCGAACATAAAAAAGGCATTTCCGTTTTGTTTCTGTTCCGATACAAAGTTGGCAATTTCGTGTCCCATTCGATGGGTTTCACTGATTCCTAATTAAACCAGCACGAAAAAAAATCATAACCTCTCACTGCAGGATCGAAATGTCTGGTTTAATCTTACCCTAGCTCATTCATCCGTCGGATATCCCCACTACCAGCGGACATCCCCTGACCCGCCGCCGTCTCCTGCCGCTCAAGCCCCGCCGAGAACAAGCCGACCGACCCGGTCAGGAGATGGACGCAGCCAAACACCGACACGCAGGCAATCAAGATGACATACTTCTGTCTGCGGCAAAAGGTCGGTAATAAGCCTGACCGCCGGGCAGAGGCCAAAAGTGTCCCGGACTGCCGAGCCATTTTGCCGGTCGGTCGACTCTCTCTGCCCGTTGGAGTTGTTCCTGGTGTTGCATCAAGAACCGACATGCATCAACTGATGCAACTCCCGTTCACTGGCCGGCATTTTATACTTGTAAGTCGAGTCCGTTACAAGTCCATCACATCTAGTCCAATCACAAACCCACTTTCAACTGCAAGGGATGTCACAGTTCATATAAACAGCTTGTGGCTTGACTTGAGACTGAAGAACTTGCGATGGACAAGACTCACAAAAACACCAACTTCTAACGCTCACGAACATCGGATGTTGTGAGCACGTCCCGTCCTCCACGTAGACCCTGACACTCTGAGATAAGATAAACACCGACGTGTACACATCGAGTGTAAGATGCTCTCGCTTGTACCGCCGTTTTTCTATTTTGATTTCTCGCGCTTCATTTTACCCGGGATGTATTCGGCGTCTGGAGATTTCGGTGATGCATGCACGCAACATCTCCTAGGCATGATAATGCATGCATGCACTGCGACTAGACGGGATCGAAAGCCCGCCCTCATTGGCGATAGAGCTTCAACCCAGGAATTCGAATTATATTACAGGCGCGGATCGGGGGGGGGGGGGGGGGGAACTAGCTCCGTCAAAAATATATATATTTTTAATGGAAATTCTTGAAAAATAAAGCGACCCCCCCGCTCTGACACCCAAAGAAATTATACTGGTAATAATGTCCGCCTGTGCACAAAATACGGACAGAGCCATCTTAGTTAGGGGGTATTTGTACACTATTTGTTTTTGAACAGCGCCCCCAATGAAAGTATGGTAAAATTCCCCCCCCCCCCTTGATTTTCGGAGGCCAAGTGTCTGGAGAAAAAAAACCTGTCCACATTTAAGACTGTTTTGCTGATGAAAACCCCCCTCCAAACATTCATGGATCAGCCCCCCTTCAAAAGGTCCTCAATTTCCCAGAAAGACAGACACGATATTTATTGCTCTTTTAAGTACTCGATTTTATTTTCCCCCTTTAAAAAAAAAAAAAAAAGATAATAATATCGCTCAGGAGTATCATTGTTGTTTATTACACAATACTTAGTCTCCAATACTCTGTTTCATGGTTTATGAGTAAGTATCTGCGCTGTGGTGTGTGTAGTCGAGTCTTCTGTGAAGACGTTGTTGATACGCGTAACCCACCGCCGCGAGAGGGCGTTATCACGCGAACCGCTATCATCGGAACCGCCGGTATTTTGTGCTGAGTCAGCTTTAAATTAGTTATTGCACCACGTTGCGTACGTTAATTGAAACTAGGATTGCACAACCAAACTGTACTGATATTGTGCATGGTTTTTCCTATAAAAGGGCCAGATCTTGTCATTTGACATGATTTTTCGGAGCATGTATGGACGCGGTCAGCACTGCACTTCGGAGTTTCGTGTATGTGCACTTTCTCAGAGTCCACTATTCCTGCTCAAGTACGTGCTGAATGTCATCCCATCCGACATTCAGAACCTAAATTTAGCTCTGTGCCTACAACACTGCAGGACTTGACGTCATCTATACGCGCTACCCTGGTTAGTTAGGTCGATGTACATTGTATAAAATAAAGGACAGAACCCCGGCCGGGCGGCGGGCGGAAGCAGATGGACTAACATCTCGACCGAATTTTGCCCGGGTGGCGAGATCGCAATAATATTTTATGAAGTCAATTAAAGTAAAGTCTGGAGTAATTTTTTTCCCCATTTGGATTGGATTAAAGAAAAAAAGCCGATGACGAAGACGAAAAATCGTTCCCCCCCTTCCGTACTATTGTTCGCGGCTTATCGGCTCAGATGAATAATAATAATAAAAACTGTGGAAATACTCTTCATTTTTCAAAAGTTTGTTTCGAGTTTCCCCGAAAAACCAACCCGCTCATTTGCTACTCAGATTTTGTTTTATATTTAAAAAAAATATTATTATTTAATTTTGTTTTTTAAATTATACTACTCGATACATTATGTTCGTCATTGCCTTCCATACGAATATGGAGAGCGCCCTCAACAGGTGTAGAATGACTAGGAGGAACCAGTGTCACCAGTCTAGTAAAAACTTACCCGTAGTAATTAACCGATGAAGCTGATGTATGGTTACAGGTACCATACCAAAATCCGGCCGAGAAGGTTCACGTCACACGTGTGTCCGGTTCACAAAAACGCTGGTAGTACCGTGGTAGAAGTGGCGTAAGTAAGCAATAAATGCCGGTACATTTGGTTGAAAATGTACCATTTTTGGGTTAAATAATATGTTTGGATTGATGTGTTTAACATCTTATTGTACTATAGGAAAGAATGTAGTAGGCGGGATAGTTCTAAGACTAGGGCGAACTTCAACTTGTCATGCTTATCGTGTACAAAGACAAAGTCTACGGACAAAATGATGGAGAGTCTTGGTCGTTTTCTCAAACCCCGGCTTCAGTCTGTATCCGGGTACGGTCACATTGCTAATCTGCATGAATGGAGCTAGCCCCACTAACGCGGAGGAAAGAAGCTGAGCCATCATAGAATACAACTGAATGTAAACGAATTTGTGATTTTTTTTCTGACATTACTTCTCAGTAGGTTGGGAACCTGGCGTGTGGCTAGAGGTACAGCGCAGCAATACCGTGGCCACACTAGTGGGGCTAGAATGAAGCTAGAGACAGAGCCGAAGCCGGGGTATAAAAAACGGCCAAAATGGCAGCCTCCGTCACAACTAAAATGAACCTAACCACCTGACCACTACCGTTAGAATCTTAAATTCTCACAAAAGCCTACAGGGGGTGCATAAGACAGTTTCAAGACTTTTTTTGTAGTGTAATCTGAAAAAGAAATTGCATTCGGGGATCAGAACAGCCAATCAGAGGCACCTGGATTATTTATGCAGAGTACAACATCCAACAGCCGTCGGTCAGTAGTGCATTCTGCATAAGCAATACAGACCATTAACCCAACGGCTGTTGGATGATATATGATGAAAAAACATTCTTTCCCAAAGCAGGCCAACATTTTAGGAAGTATTTGAGGAAGGGATAAATGTATGTTTTTGGAAAGAAACCAGTATTACTTGCGATACTGTAGTAACGTTTTGATATGTGTTCAATTTTAGTTGAGTTTTATCGCATCACAATTGAGCTTGCTGCCTCCCAGGAACTTGTAAGTGAAGATGGCAAGCAACGATGCAGAGGAACAGGTGGAAGTGACTGTGAATGACAACCCAGAAAGCTATGGTAAGGTGACTCAGGAAGAGGTGGGAGGGGGGGGGGTTGGGGGTAGCTGCTGAGGGTGATGGCGGTAATTTTGATGGCGTTTATGGTGATAATGACAAAGGTGATGATTTGGTCAGAATATCACATTGAAATATTAATCAACAGGATCGAGAGACTGAAATAATCCCTTTGTGCTTACGACCGATTTATCTGTTTTCAAAAGATGGATGCGGACATCCAGGAATTTCTTTCATTGCCTTGTCTGGTTCCCAGACCTAAAGGTATTTACTTAAAACTCAATGTTTCTTGAGTCTAGAATGGCACTTCACCGCAACCAATGGAAACTTTTCGTCGTTTGCGAGTTAGCCACGCCCCTTGGACAACCCTATGGAGTTTTTGTACAGATTTTGCGCAGTCTGCGTTCACTTTTATATCATGTAATTGGACAATATTTCACAAGCTGCGTTGACGTGATTCTAACGCAATTCTACCGCGATAGGTCAATTGGTGTGCAAATGGATGTTTTTACTGGCTGAAGTAATCCCGCCAAGACCTGTACATGCACAACTCTTTTTTGATCTTTCAATTGTTTTGGATTATTTCGCGTAATCTCGCAGCACAACTAGAAAATGGGCATGGGGAGATCACCCTGAAACCACAGGAGAAGAGAGACAACCACAATATCTGCTCAGAGAACGTCCGGAAAGTCATCTATGGCTTGATACTCGTCATCGGCATCGCGGTGTCTTGGGTCAGCACCACGCAGTTCTCGAAAAGCACCTACTCCGCCACCTTCAACGCTCCGTTCTTCATGATCTGGTTCACCACGATGTGGACGATCGTCTGCTATCCGGTGTATGTGATTGGCTCGTTTCTGCTGTTCAAGGAGAAGAGAAAAGGCGGGTGGCGTCCGTTATTCAGGTATGTTGCAAGACGAGCTTCAATCCTGTACCAAACGTTGGAAAGATTTCTATACCCCCTCAACAGGTTTTAAACTACATGGTGCTGCAAAAAGAAGGAAACCCACTTTTGACAGCAATTTTCACCTGCTTGATATTTCAAAAATTTAATTTAATGGTATTAAAATATTGATCTTTCAAGTGACGAAACAAATGAGCGCAAATGCCTATTTTGTCTCTGAGATCTGGTAGTTTGAAAATTTCATGTGCCAAACCTGTTTGTCCATGGACAGCTTTATTCCACCCGCTTGACTGAGCTCCAGAGCTTGATTTGAAGACAAGAAAACACTACACTAGACTTACACGTGGACAACAGTGATTTTGGTGACTTGTAAATAAGCATAATTAATGCTATTCTTGCGATTTTTTTAAAGATTTGTTTCACCACGTATGGTTGAAGAGCTATACTTAAGTACATTATAAAAAAAAAAAACCAGTTCAAAAAAGTAAGTTGATGGAGCTCTGTGGTGCAATGGTTACGGTGTTTGACTCACGTGCTGTGGTATGTGGGTTTGAACCCTGACCAGCTGACAGGGAACATCGTGCTTGTGTTCTTGGGCAAGACACTTTACTACGATTGCCTCTCTCCACCAAGGAGTATAAATGGGTACCTGTGAAGGTAGAGACCAGAATGCGCTGATCTGGAGCTGCTGCAAAAACTGGTCTCATGACCTGATGAACAGGGGTAATAATTTTGAAGCGCTTTGAGACCTTTGGTATAAAGCGCTATATAATAAGCATGACATTGTTACATTAATTGTGGTGCATTGCGGTATTAAAGCCAGCAATCAACTGTTCAACTTTAACATTTTGTTTCTTTGATGAATCGGATTTGCAAGTTAAGTTTTGAAATGGAGTCCAAGAAGAAATGTTATGAATATCTTCAGTTTAATTTTGTTCTTTTTTTCGATCTTCAGGGAAGATCAGAAGATATTTGGAGCCAACGGTCTGACGCTTCGAAATTACTTTAAGTACATCGCCCCTTTCTGTGTATGCTGGATGGGCACCAACTACATGTACATCCGAGCCCTCGGTATCATTCACGTGACGGACGTCACTGCTCTCTTCGCGACGAACACTGCCTTTGTCTACATCTGCTCGTGGATCTGGCTGAAGGAGAAATTCATCCTCATCCCAGCGAAGGTAAGAAAGTTTCTCTTCAGAAAGTTCTGCTTGAATGCATTGTCAGGCCCATCACCATCCTTTCTTGTTTCATTTCTTAATAAATCTTGAAAAAAAGTAAGACTGCTGCAAACTGCTTACTGACTGGATGGACCTGAAATATATAAATCTAAAAATTAATGTGGCCTGACGTTGCGAACTTAGCAAGTTCTTCTTCAGAGGCTGTTTTAGCCTCTGAAGAAGAACTTGCTAAATTCGCAACGTCAGGCCACATTAATTTTTAGACTTAATAAATCTTGTTTAAAGAAATATTTTCTTGTCTCTTACCCTACAAAGTCTTTTCTAGAGAATGACATGAGAAAGTTGTTTTGAAAAAAGAACTTGTTTTAATTTTTTTTTAAGAAACGTATTCTAAAAATACACTTTTCACTGAGCTTAAGGGTTGAGGCAGAAAAAAAATCACAACATTTTTTTCTTTGTTTTAAAATGTTGCTCTTCCCCCTAATTTTATTCTAAGTTTCCTTTCATCTTTGAATGTTTCTTGCTTATTTGTCACTGTTCCAATGTCATCTTGCCTTTGAGAAAAACTCTTCTAGGTTTGTAACGTCAAGCCTTTTGACTTTTAGAACAAAAGTACTGATTTGTACAAAATCAAAAAGTGTATATCAACTGACTAGAGAACATCTTCATAGTCAGGTGACAAGTTACAAAAACTATTAAAGATGTACGTAAGCATAAGATGGGTGGGGCTTATGACCGAACTGGGAACCACCCATAAACCAGAAGGAGTATTGAAGCGGATCAATTGTAAGGTGAAAAAGAATTACATTTGTCACCAATCTCTCTGTTTTTTGGTTTCTTATACAGAGTTTTTCCGTCGTGCTAGCCATTGCGGGTACCGTGCTGATGTGTTACGCCGACGGATTTGAAGGTGGTCGCGCAGAGGGAGTAGTGCTGGCTCTTGGATCATCTGTTGGTGCCGCTCTTTACAAGGTACGTTTGACCTGTCTTTTTTTCTCAGTTTGGGGCCAAAAATAACAGGCTCAAAAATTATAAAATGTTCAATAACACATCATGATGAGGGGTTTCGGATATATTTGTGATTTTTGTATTTCCCTTCCGACAGGTGTTGTTTTTCCGTTGTATCGGCAAGGCATCCTACGGTCAAGTCTCTCTCTTCCTATCGCTCCTGGGTCTGTTCGATCTTCTCTTCTTCTGGCCCATCATGCTCACCCTGTACCTGACTAAAGTGGAGACACTGGACTGGGGCAACCTGCCTATGACCTTCCTGTGTGGGAGTGCTACATTGGGATTAGGTAAGACAGTCAGGGTACCAGACTTGAAGTGTGGGTGAAACAGTCAGGGTGCCAGACCTTAGGGTTGGGTAAGAACCTAGACGGGATACCAGACCTTATAAGAGACAATCGATGCACTTTCAGGTATCATACTTTAAATGGATGTCCACAGTAATCCAGCATTTTGAGTCTGTGATCAGACTTTTAAGTAAAACAGTGAGAGCACAAGACTTAAAGGTTTCGTAAAACAGTCAGGGTACCAGACTAAGCTAAAATAGTGAGAGTTCCAGACTAAAGCAGTTCTGACATGAAACTTGGTTAGTCCGAAGACTTTTTTTCACTTTGTCGTTCTTCACTGATTTGTATTTTTGTTTTGTTTTTGCAGTATTCAACTTCCTGGTCAACTTCGGTATAGCCATTACCTTTCCGCTTTTCATCGCCTTGGGAACCTTCGTAGGAATTCCTCTCAATGGAGGTAAGAGCCAAAAAAAAAAACCCTGGAACAGTTTCTCCCAGTATATTAAAAACAAAAAATTGGAAAAAAAACCCCAATTGTCGTATTGACCCATTATTCAAAGTACATCACTTTGCTTTACTTTAATTGATTTGTTAATGCAGTAGAGTTGTCTGAAATATATTGAGCTACCGATATTAGACATTCAAACCAGCCGGCTGTCCCCGGCAAGGCTAGGCGGTCGAGTGGTGAGACGTCTGCACTAGTAAGCAGGAGTTCTCAGGTTCAAGTCCCGAAAGAGCAAACTAGTGAATTGTTTTCTTTGCAGGAGCCCAGACAGCACGGAGTGCATTGCACTTGTAAATTTTCACTGAAGAGTAAAAGCCAATTGTAGAGGACAAAAGAATGAAGTCAAAATTTGGTTTTCCAAATTATTATTATTTTTTTGGCAGTTGTTGATTCGCTCTTCAGAGAAGCATCCTTCGGCGCTTGGAAGATTGTCGGTGGGTCATTGATTCTCATCGGTTTCCTGGTCATGCTGGCTCCGGAATTCATACAGCGGAAGGTGGCATGCTGGAAGGAAGGGCAGTGCCCCTGTGAGAGGCAGAAACTAGACCAAGATGAAGCTGAGGCTGAGGAGAAGGTGGAGCTTAAGGAGGGGGCGGGACAACAGGAGGGCGAAAGTTGGCAGCGACTGAAACAAACTGAGGATGATGACGTTGAACTTTGAGAGAATTTTTTGGAAAGTACAGTACTACATTGCTGTAAGGATTACCCCTAAGTTTAACATTTGGGTACCATGAACACCCCTTGTCCTTCATATTGGACTCTTCCTGCCTGTCAATCAAAGTGTGCATTGACCAATCAGATCACGACTTTTGGTCAGGTGACAATGGTAGCCCTGCCAAACCAAGTCCCAAACACTGTGAGAAATGTATACAAACCAAAGCTGGGCGGGGCTTATGGCCAGAAAGTGGGTGGGGCTTATGGTCCAGAGGTGGGCGGGGTTAATCCGGAACGTTCCATTAGCTAAGAGGTGGGCGGGGCTAATCGGGAACATTCCATTACCCTTTCTGCAGTAAAAACACTGCCATGAACGACTGCCTTAGTAAAGGATCTCTTGTGAACCTCATTGTGTCTGTTTGTTTTACTGCATTCTACTGTAATTTGTATGAAATAATTATGCCTTAAAACAAGAATATAAAGTTTGATGAAGTTGGATATATATATTGAATATGTTTTCTAACAGTTGGAAAGTTGTTACAGTGTTTGTGTTTTTTATTTGGAGCCCTACATTTGTGGCCGCCACATTAATACGTTTTCCCAAAATAGGATATTTAGAACAATGTTTTTGGTAAACGTGCAACATTTTTTGAAAATTGTTGTAGAGTACCTCTCTAGCCTCATAACATTTTATCAACGTGACAGTAGACTTAGATCAACGTGACAGTAGACTTAGATCAATCCTTGATCCACTCACCTTGAACACTCTACCTGCTCTAAATCTGTTGGCCGGGGTTCCTTCGGTTACATTGGCCCCCGCCTTTGGAACAATCTTCCATTCAAGATCCGATTTTCTACCTCAGCTGCTACATTCAAGAAATTGCACAAAACTGAACTGTATCGAGTCTAACTATGTTCCATCTTGACAGCGCCTCGATCTAGTCACTAGGAGTTGTGCGCTATATAAGAACATGTTTGTTGTTATTATTATTATTACCCAACCCGTCCAAGAAATTGACACTTTAAATGTTCATCAGGTTTTGTGTATTCATCAGTTTCCTAGTAAAATGGTTGAAATATCCAATAAAATAATGAATTTTTTTACATTTTATTTCTTCTATTAGTGACATAACTGTCTCGAAATCGAGTTGGAATGTGTTCGAGGGTCCCTGAGGAGTCTTTCCAGGAAGTTTAGAGCAATTTCATTTTTTGACCAAAATTGACAAAAAATGCAAGGGGTTAATAGCCTTACATTTTTTATGAAATTTGGCCAAAAAATGAATTTTGTATTGATATATCTGTCCCTAAATCGGGTTGGAATGTGTTCGAGGGTCCCTTAGGAGTCTTTCCAGGAAGTTTCGAGCAATTTCATTTTTTGGCCAAAATTGACAAAAAATGCAAGGGATTAGCCTTACATTTTTTATGAAATTTTGCCAAAATATTTTTTTTTTTTGTATTGACATATCTGTCCCTAAATCGAGTTGGAATGTGTTGGAGGGTCCCTTAGGAGTCTTTCCAGCAAGTTTCGAGCAATTTCATTTTTTGGCCAAAATTGACAAAAGATGCAAGGGGTCAGCCTTACATTTTTTATGAAATTTGGCCAGAATATGATTTTTTTTTGTATTGACATATCTGTCCCTAAATCGAGTTGGAATGTGTTCGAGGGTCCCTTAGGAGTCTTTCCAGGAAGTTTCGCGCAATTTCATTTTTTGGCCAAAATTGACAAAAAATGCAAGGGGTTAGCCTTACATTTTTTTATGAAATTTGGACAAAATATGAATTTTTGTATTGATATATCTGTCCCTAAATCGAGTTGGAATGTGTTCGAGGGTCCCTTAGGAGTCTTTCCAGGAAGTTTCGCGCAATTTCATTTTTTGGCCAAAATTGACAAAAAATGCAAGGGGTTAGCCTTACATTTTTTATGAAATTTGGCCAAAATATGAATTTTTGTGTATTGATATATCTGTCCCTAAATCGAGTTGGAATGTGTTCGAGGGTCCCTTAGGAGTCTTTCCAGCAAGTTTCGAGCAATTTCATTTTTTGGCCAAAATTGACAAAAAAATGCAAGGGGTTAGCCTTACATTTTTTATGGAAATTGGCCAAAATATTATTTTTTTTGTATTGATATATCTGTCCCTAAATCGAGTTGGAATGTGTTCCAGGGTCCCTTAGGAGTCTTTCCAGGAAGTTTCGAGCAATTTCATTTTTTGACCAAAATTGACAAAAAAATGCAAGGGGTTAGCCTTACATTTTTTATGAAAATTGGCCAAAATATTTTTTTTGTATTGATATATCTGTCCCTAAATCAAGTTGGAATGTGTTGCAGGGTCCTTTAGGAGTCTTTCCATGAAGTTTCGAGCAATTTCATTTTTTGGCCAAAAATGAAAAAAATGCAAGGGGTTAGCCTTACATTTTTTTATGAAAATTGGCCAAAATATTATTTTTTTTGTATTGATATATCTGTCCCTAAATCGAGTTGGAATGTGTTCCAGGGTCCCTTAGGAGTCTTTCCAGGAAGTTTCGAGCAATTTAATTTTTTGGCCAAAATTGAAAAAAATGTAAGGGGTTAGCCTTACATTTTTTATGAAAATTAGCCAAAATATTATTTTTTTTGTATTGATATATCTGTCCCTAAATCGAGTTGGAATGTGTTCCAGGGTCCCTTAGGAGTCTTTCCAGGAAGTTTCGAGCAATTTAATTTTTTGGCCAAAATTGACAAAAAATGCAAGGGGTTAGCCTTACATTTTTTATGAAAATTGGCCAAAATATTATTTTTTTTGTATTGATATATCTGTCCCTAAATCGAGTTGGAATGTGTTCCAGGGTCCCTTAGGAGTCTTTCCAGGAAGTTTCGAGCAATTTCATTTTTTGACCAAAATTGACAAAAAAATGCAAGGGGTTAGCCTTACATTTTTTATGAAAATTGGCCAAAATATTATTTTTTTTGTATTGATATATCTGTCCCTAAATCAAGTTGGAATGTGTTGCAGGTTCCTTTAGGAGTCTTTCCATGAAGTTTCGAGCAATTTCATTTTTTGGCCAAAAATGAAAAAAATGCAAGGGGTTAGCCTTACATTTTTTATGAAAATTGGCCAAAATATTATTTTTTTCGTATTGATATATCTGTCCCTAAATCGAGTTGGAATGTGTTCCAGGGTCCCTTAGGAGTCTTTCCAGGAAGTTTCGAGCAATTTCATTTTTTGGCCAAAAATGAAAAAAATGCAAGGGGTTAGCCTTACATTTTTTATGAAAATTGGCCAAAATATAATTTTTTTCGTATTGATATATCTGTCCCTAAATCGAGTTGGAATGTGTTCCAGGGTCCCTTAGGAGTCTTTCCAGGAAGTTTCGAGCAATTTCATTTTTTGGCCAAAATTAACAAAAAATGCAAGGGGTTAGCCTTACATTTTTTATGAAAATTGGCCAAAATATTATTTTTTTTGTATTGATATATCTGTCCCTAAATCGAGTTGGAATGTGTTCCAGGGTCCCTTAGGAGTCTTTCCATGAAGTTTCGAGCAATTTCATTTTTTGACCAAAATTGACAAAAAAAGCAAGGGGTTAGCCTTACATTTTTTATGAAAATTGGCCAAAATATTATTTTTTTTGTATTGATATATCTGTCCATAAATCAAGTTGGAATGTGTTCCAGGGTCCCTTAGGAGTCTTTCCATGAAGTTTCGAGCAATTTCATTTTTTGGCCAAAATTGAAAAAAATATAAGGGGTTAGCCTTACATTTTGTATGAAAATTGGCCAAAATATTATTTTTTTTGTATTGATATATCTGTCCCTAAATCAAGTTGGAATGTGTTGCAGGGTCCTTTAGGAGTCTTTCCATGAAGTTTCGAGCAATTTCATTTTTTGGCCAAAAATGAAAAAAATGCAAGGGGTTAGCCTTACATTTTTAATGAAAATTGGCCAAAATATATTTTTTTTTGTATTGATATATCTGTCCCTAAATCGAGTTGGAATGTGTTCCAGGGTCCCTTAGGAGTCTTTCCAGGAAGTTTCGAGCAATTTCATTTTTTGGCCAAAATTGAAAAAAATGTAAGGGGTTAGCCTTACATTTTTTATGAAAATTAGCCAAAATATTATTTTTTTTGTATTGATATATCTGTCCCTAAATCGAGTTGGAATGTGTTCCAGGGTCCATTAGGAGTCTTTCCAGGAAGTTTCGAGCAATTTCATTTTTTGGCCAAAATTGACAAAAAATGCAAGGGGTTAGCCTTACATTTTTTATGAAAATTGGCCAAAATATTATTTTTTTTGTATTGATATATCTGTCCCTAAATCGAGTTGGAATGTGTTCCAGGGTCCCTTAGGAGTCTTTCCAGGAAGTTTCGAGCAATTTCATTTTTTGACCAAAATTGACAAAAAATGCAAAGGGTTAGCCTTACATTTTTTATGAAAATTGGCCAAAATATTATTTGTTTTGTATTGATATATCTGTCCCTAAATCGAGTTGAAATGTGTTCCAGGGTCCCTTAGGAGTCTTTCCAGGAAGTTTCGAGCAATTTCATTTTTTGACCAAAATTGACAAAAAATGCAAGGGGTTAGCCTTACATTTTTTATGAAAATTGGCCAAAATATTATTTTTTTTGTATTGATATATCTGTCCCTAAATCAAGTTGGAATGTGTTGCAGGGTCCTTTAGGAGTCTTTCCATGAAGTTTCGAGCAATTTCATTTTTTGGCCAAAAATGAAAAAAATGCAAGGGGTTAGCCTTACATTTTTTATGAAAATTGGCCAAAATATATATTTTTTTGTATTGATATATCTGTCCCTAAATCGAGTTGGAATGTGTTCCAGGGTCCCTTAGGAGTCTTTCCAGGAAGTTTCGAGCAATTTCATTTTTTGGCCAAAATTGAAAAAAATGCAAGGGGTTAGCCTTACATTTTTTATGAAAATTGGCCAAAATATTATTTTTTTGTATTGATATATCTGGCCCTAAATCGAGTTGGAATGTGTTCCAGGGTCCCTTAGGAGTCTTTCAAGGAAGTTTCGAGCAATTTCATTTTTTGACCAAAATTGACAAAAAATGCAAGGGGTTAGCCTTACATTTTTTATGAAAATTGGCCAAAATATTATTTGTTTTGTATTGATATATCTGTCCCTAAATCGAGTTGAAATGTGTTCCAGGGTCCCTTAGGAGTCTTTCCATGAAGTTTCGAGCAATTTCATTTTTTGACCAAAATTGACAAAAAATGCAAGGGGTTAGCCTTACATTTTTAATGAAAATTGGCCAAAATATTATTTTTTTTGTATTGATATATCTGTCCCTAAATCGAGTTGGAATGTGTTCCAGGGTCCCTAGGGAGTCTTTCCAGGAAGTTTCGAGCAATTTCATTTTTTGACCAAAATTGACAAAAAATGCAAGAGGTTAGCCTTACATTTTTTATGAAAATTGGCCAAAATATTATTTTTGTTGTATTGATATATCTGTCCATAAATCAAGTTGGAATGTGTTCCAGGGTCCCTTAGGAGTCTTTCCAGCAAGTTTCGAGCAATTTCATTTTTTGGCCAAAATTGAAAAAAATGTAAGGGGTTAGCCTTACATTTTTTTGAAAATTGGCCAAAATATTATTTTTTTTGTATTGATATATCTGTCCCTAAATCGAGTTGGAATGTGTTCCAGGGTCCCTTAGGAGTCTTTCAAGGAAGTTTCGAGCAATTTCATTTTTTGGCCAAAATTGAAAAAAATGCAAGGGGTTAGCCTTACATTTTTTATGAAAATTGGCCAAAATATTATTTTTGTTTGTATTGATATATCTGTCCCTAAATCGAATTGGAATGTGTTCCAGGGTCCCTTAGGAGTCTTTCCAGGAAGTTTCGAGCAATTTCATTTTTTGGCCAAAATTGAAAAAAATGTAAGGGGTTAGCCTTACATTTTTAGACTTACATTTTTTATGAAAATTAGCCAAAATATTATTTTTTTGTATTGATATATCTGTCCCTAAATCGAGTTGGAATGTGTTCCAGGGTCCCTTAGGAGTCTTTCCAGGAAGTTTCGAGCAATTTCATTTTTTGACCAAAATTGACAAAAAATGCAAGGGGTTAGCCTTACATTTTTTATGAAAATTGGCCAAAATATTATTTTTTTGTATTGATAT